ATATTTATAAATTTTTTTATGTAAAATTTGGTGAAACCTATGTACCTAAAATAAGCAAGTCACATAAGAAAACTGAACTAAGTATAATTGTCCCTCCGCCATTCTGTCAATCGCTTTAAAGCAAAATCAAATTAGCAAGTTTGCACCTTTTAAGTTTTTAATCTTTTTGCAAGATTTAAACGAAAAAAATAAAAACGGATTTCTATTGCTTGATAGGTAGCTTATCAAGCAATATTATTGAGTAAGTTGTGCTAAAAATGCCAAATACTTTTGTAATTTCTTTTCTAAATATACTCATTTGGTATTGTATTGTTATTTATCAAATAATGCTTTTCATATTTCTTCTTTTCATACAATTTCTTAATATATAATAAATTAATGAATTCCATGTCTAATGGACCAAAAGATGAGGGACTTGTTATTCCGATTATTATTATGAGGAGATTAGGTACACTTCGCTGAATTTTGGAAAATTAGGTAATGAGGAAATTACGTGTTTTTCTTTCACTAATTCCATTTTGCTTATCAACGGAACATTATACATAGCCATTGTGATAAACCGCCACCTGCCTCTTTGGACCTTCTCATAAAAATTAATAAATTAAAGAGAACACGTTTGTAAATTATGAAAACGCACAATTATATATTTTAAGCAGATTAGTTGGAAAACATTATATGAAAATTCGAAATTATAGAATTTCGATAATAAACTAGAAGCAACTGGCAATGTTGATTAATCTTGCTAAGCTCTACCCATCTTATTATAATTTATTGATTATTCATAGCCTTTCTTTTGAAAGTCGATTCTCATCCCATTTACCTTTTAAGATAATTAGGAGCCAAAATGGGGTAAAAGCCTTATCGATTTTCACTAATAAGCTTATTTTGCGATGAGTATGCACAGTCTGCTTCCAAGTATCCTGTTTTCAGCACGACAGACCTTCAAAACTTATTTAGTTGCAGTTTCCGCTTATTTTCCATGTTGTGATAATATGTTGAAAATTGTTACAAACATCTAATCAATTAAAATAAAGATTCTGCATTGATTGTTTATTACGTAGGGACGGTTTGCGTTTATTTAATAGCAATTATCACTTTAAAAATATCTACAAAGCTAATGAATTAAATACAAATAATATTTAGGTTTTCGGGAGAAACAGGCAATTGATCTTTCTGGTGATGCCATTTACAGTATGGAAATGCTTAGTTAAGTAATTAATTGTAGTTGCATTTTACATGTTTTGCAATTCATGAATTAGGGATGTGGATAGAAAAAGGAAAATTTTGTTTTTCTGGTAAGGTATAATGGTTCTATAATCGATCAGTTGTAGGTGTAGCGTTTTTTTATTTTCTTTGCATTTGCTAGTTCGCATAGTAATCAATTTGAAGAATTGTGTTGGTATTCAATTGGTATTGGGGATGTTTTATGTGTTAAATTAATCTTAGTGCGTTACTTCCATTATTTAAAATTTAGTAAAATAACATTGTTCGATTGACTTACAATTTTCGTCATTATTTATTTTGGTTCTTTTCAAATGTTGTGATGACGATATATATTTTAAATTGTCATTAGTTTTATTGTACCCATTTCAATTGTACGTTCTGTTAATATTTCGTTTTCTTATATTATCTTAATAAAATGCGTTGGACTAATTTTTACTTTAATTTGAAAAATATGCCTGTTTAGCTGCGACCTGAAACCAAGATCTAAATGCAGGCAAGTTAATTTTTTTCTACCACTATGAAACGCGATTGTTCTAATCTCGTTAAACTAATGTAAAGAGGATTGAACGCCCTTTAAAACGATGTGCCATTTGACCCCTCTTTCCATTTAAGATTCTCAGGGTGACATCCACCCCTCCTAAGGGGTTGAAACAAGGAGGCTAAAAACATTCATTTAAAGTGTCCCACTTTCAAATAAAATTTACGGGTCTTTCCAATTTTTCATATGTTCAACTGGAAGAAAAATATTAAGAGTGGGAAGTTTTCAAATTGACACCCTGTATAATAATGAATTAGAGTGTGAATACTGAGCTATATTATCCCGAGACGATAAGTGCCACCTTACATACCTTTCATAGTGCAGTGGATAAATTGTAAGTCAAATAAGATTTCTCCGGACGAACTTTATATAAGTTCCAATTTCCTTAATTGATTTTTTTTATGTTTTATGACTTGTATTACATCTAAGTATGAATAGAAAAAATGCTAATATTTCTTGCCTGATTCCCCGTCGTCATCGATGTAGTACCCTGTTCCATTGTACGAATCCTGCGGTTTTGTCGTAGTACTTTCAAGATCAGTTTCAAAGGAAGTTGCTGGACTCACTGAACTAACTGAACCCAGAAACTTCCATGGTGGAGTACCAGTGTGGTTTATTTTAGTCCATGTCGATTCCGTAGTAGCCATGTTCCTTTGTTCTTTTAGTGGACTGATAATTGAGACTCCTCAATAAGTGGAAAGCTACAATCATATTGGCATGTTAGCTAAAATACATTAAAAATATTCATACTCTATGAATATCTACTAAGTATATGACATGTAGTTTTAAAATTGAAAATTTGATATGTAAAATTACTTGGCAAGATAGTTCAAAGAAGTTCGTATCCAAATTTGCATATCTGATGACTCTGACTCTGAGACTCATCTTAATAAATACATAAATTTAAAATATAAACTCGTAAAGAAAATTGAAACCTTTGCACAGCTCATCTGATTATAAGTATGTGTGTTTGACTTTGTTGTTTAATTGTCCACCATCAATGCACTGCTGTTATTGTAACGTTTGTTTTACAAGCTAGTGAATGTAGACGAACGGGGATATTTATTCATAACTCACAAGAATATMACGTCCGGCGGTTTTCAGTCAAAAKATACACACATTTAATCTAAACTACCCAACAAAATGAACGTTATACAGGCAAATTTGCCCTAATTTTAGATCTGGATAAATTCTGAWTTCTTARTGAGATTTGTTCTGTTGAACTTTTCTSTYCTTGGTCCGAGTTTCACGATCTAGAGCTGATTTTGAAGCTTAAACTTYATTGYTGAAGACGAAAATCATATACAGGGTTACACAAAAAATGACTCAAATCAGAAATGCCCCCGAAATATGTGATTCTGGAAYGCTTTCAACTAAGTAAAGTTTACTTTCAAATATTTCGTACATTCATGCAAYTCGKTATATTGAATTATTATTTTCTCAACTCCACTGCGAGCTTTCAGATTCAACTTAAGAGATAAATAAATATGATTGCAAGACCWAAAAGTAGATTTTTTAGAACCCTTTTTTGATAAATSAGATGAGCAAAAAATCAAAAACATTTATCGAGATATGAGACTTTTATGCTTGTGGTGTAACTTTCGCCAAGTTAGCATTGTTTTATTTGCCACCCTGTAGAAACGTTATCGGGCGCACTACTTTTTTGGAAAACATCGCACTAACAGTCAAATAGATGCAATAAATAACGCTTCAAACAGAAATCAATTCGCTCTAAGCAATCAGAATTTATCCAGTTCTAGAGTTAGTCCAAATTTGTCAATGTAACCTTGAGTTTGTTGAACATTTTAATATAAAACAATTTTAGAAAAAGCTTCGATCTGCTTTTGCTTATGTGATTTTATCCACCGCTAATTAGTAGGATAAAATCTAAAATTCTATAAATAAATAGTTACACAAATAATTTTCAATCTATAGTATATTCTATAACGACTTTTGTAATTACATACAATATGTTTCTGGCGCAAAATTTCAAATAATAGCCGTGTTTTTTCTGTGTCCAGAAATTAGGTCAGCATATTCTCCATATTTTTTCGAAATGTTAACAAAATAAAGTAGTAAATTTTGCATAATATTCATGTTGTAAATTGCCATTGAAGCTAATATTAGTATTATTATTCTTCAGACATAAGGTCTTTAAACTTGCTCTTGTGTTTCTCAAACATTGCTTTTGCAAATAGACCGATAGAAGTTAGCTTACAGCATAAATGAATCGGAAGTAAATATAATTATTTTTTGAATCCAATTTGTTGACATGATTGTAGACAATTTGTTTACTCAAAAGATCCTAATGAAAAATTTGAAATAAATTCAAATATATTTTATGCACTGTAAATGTATACAGAAAGTGAACATGATTCTTAAAGTTCAACGGCTGTTTCAAATTTTATGTTTTTCTCTCGTGTTATGTATATTTGTCACAGGTTTATGAGGACTGATTGAACCCTTAATTCCCTTCCCTTCAAGGAAATCGTTACTGAAGCTTAGGTTTTTTTAATTGGACTTGGTTATCGAAGCAGACTATTGGAAAGGTCTTTACGATTGACACTTGAAAGAGAGCGAATATCTACTTCAATAACTATCAATTTTTTTAGAACACAATGAGGTTCAGAAAATCTCGTGTAAAATGGTTTCAGACTGAATGCGATATGTTCAGTCGCTCCCATTCTGAATTGAAAATAAAATTAAACATCACCATTCCGGACACACGAACACTGGTGGTTTCTTTTATCAACCGTATAGGTTTGATTAGAATTCCTTTCCAATACCAAACAATTTACTTACACGACTATAATAAAAACTAGATAGCGCTGAGTGGTCGTGACAAAATTCTACAGCAGATTTAGCTAAAGAAAATATGGAAAAAAGTTCAAACAAACATGGGTCTAAAAATCCTTTGTTTTCGAGATCATCACACCCTCAAACACCCTGTAGACCGTTATTCAGATTTTACTAATAAGAACTAATTCAAATCGTGTTCCTTACTGGTCAATGGAAAGATTTATAATTGCCTGATCGAACTGGTTCCAACGAAATTCAATTCCATCATTTAATTTGTCAGCGATGGTTATATTAATTTTTTATATATCATTGATACCAATCTACGTCACATAGAGTAAATTACAGGATTAAAAGCTGGGCTAGAAGAGTGTCATTTATTGAGGTCGATGATTTCTGAACATATTCTTTCTTGTCAAATTTTCAATATTTCTTAAACATGTGAATAAGGTAAATGTAATGATTATATTTATTAAAGCTCGAGCAAGACTGCAATTTATTTTTGTAATAATTATTGTAAATATTTTTTTTGTTGCATGGAAACCGTTTGTGTGCACTTGAACTCCTTTTTTAACAAAAATTATGCCAGCTGTTCTCAACACAAAATTTTATGATGCAGTTGCATACATGTAACAAAAATTTTATTGATATTGGCGTTGTTTCCCAAATTGCATGTTCTTTCCAGTCAACAATTTTAGAATTTTACAATTGCTTTCCTTTTTCACCGTGAAATCGTCTTAAAACCACGTTTTTGCTAGACCATTGTTGATTCCTGATAATAGACTTTCATATAAAATTTATTTATTAATGCAGATTAATGAGTCTCTTATTATATTTTTTCTTTGGCCTATAAGCCGCAGAAAAAAATTGTGTTGATTTCTACCAGAACCAAGTTTCATTTGCATGCTCCTATAATACTCACACAGAAGTGAACAAACCTTGTTTATTATTTTTCCAGTTTGATGCATCAAATATTTTAGCTAGTGCAATCAATACATATTTTCCGTAAATATTCTAAGAGTATTTTCTCATATAATCTTATGAATATCAGATTGAAATGCACACTTCTCATGCCAGACACTCTTACAGTGTCCGAAAAATGATTTGCAATGATGTCTAACCAATTGGACAAAAGATAAGTCGCAATGCAAAAACGCAACACTTAACAAAAAAACGAACAATTTAAAATATTTGAATGTTCATCAATTGCTAAAAACTGTTTTACAGCATGTTAAACAAACAGTTTGTACTTGCATAAAAGTCTAGAGCAGTGTGTGTTTTTTATTACTAGCATTGGCAAATAACTAAAAAAGCGTTTTAGAGTCTAACTTATGTCGACTTTAATAAGGGATTAAATTTACATTGTTATAGAAAATATGTTATGCGTCTACATGCGAGAATCTGTAATTTAAAATAATTTACAACTTAAATATGAAATAGAGGAACTTCATCAACCGTTTTTTTACATTTCTATTTCATTCCATATGTACAATATTATCCTTTGCGACTTACAATTATAATACAAGTAATAGCTTGTTCTACTCTTCCAAGTGTTTGAGCTCGTGAAATTATTTTATAACTTGAACCACAACTATATATTTTTGTAAATTTTTATCAATCTTGCATAATACTTACCTAAAACATCCTATATCTCATTTCTCAGCTTTGGCGACCTTGCCAGTTTTACTCGCCACTAGCTGAGCTCACATCACTAGACTCACTCTGGATCCTCGACGAACTGCTAGGGCCTAATGTGCGTATTAGTTAATGGAGAGCAGCGAGAAAAGTTCGCATTTTAATGGAAAAAAGCGCGGATACACATTTTCGACACACCTGCCCTATGTGGAAAAACAAGGATGCTGTACCAGTGCGCTGACGCGGTTTGCTTCCATTGATTAAGGATCGTCTGGAATCCAGATCAGCAGGGATGCGAAACCCGACGCAACAAATATTTTTTCGCATTTTTCGGTCAGGAGAACATAAGCAGTGCGTGATAACTCTAAATAACTTCTTTGATTCTTTTACGGTGTCTTCCATTCATCAATAAAACTTCTGTTAATGGATACCACTGAACATCAAACGGTTCTTCTATCGAATTTCTTTCAGTCACTAGTTAATTTGTCTGCACCTATTGGGTAACAAAACTTCTCAAAACAGACCTTCTGAGCAGTGACTGCAGACATAATAATTGAAAAATAAACAAAGATTAACTCGTATAATAATTTTTAACAACAAACAAGTACTGACTCTTGTCTTTGCGGGGAATAATCCAACTAAACAATCAGAATAACAAGAAAGTCGTAATTGGTGACAAAAAGGGAGCTGCGGTTTTTACAGCCAAAAGCCAGAACAATTGAGGATCTTGTTGCAAGCACTTCTTTTCAAAATGGAAAGCTGTATTTTATGACCTTCTACCAAGCATAAACAATTACTTCGTATAAGAACTGGACGAGTTTTTCTTACCGCAACAGAGTTATAAAAACTTTTGACTCATTTTGACTCAAAAACGGGATACGTTATCTTCTAACGTTGTTATGATGAACTCCTTGCAGCATTTATATATATATCGGAGATATTTTGTAGAAAGCACGTCTTATTATCATGTGCTATCATCTTATCTGCTTCATATCTTTGGGATCCGCTGGAGAAACTTGGTAGAATTTTCCTTGACGAATTCCCAAAGAAAAGTCACAAGGAGTCAGATCAGGGGATAGGGCTGGCCAATTAATATGCGCGCCTTTTTCCTATCCATCAAAGTGCAAGGTGGGACCTCTAATATAAATAATCTCTTAAATAGTTCTGGAGATTATTCATGAAAAATTGCAAGTACATATCGGTATTGAAGTTCTCGTCGAAAAAATGAGGCCCTATAAAATATCTTCTCAATAAACTCCATATATTTTACGACCAAACTCTCTGGTTATCAGCGGCCCGTGCCCAATGTGGATTTGATGTAATATAAAAATTAATATTATGTTATTTACATCTCCATTACTTGGAAACTTGGCTTTTCCATTACTTGGGAACTATTTACAGAAATTTCTTGCATTATTGATTAAGGATGTATTGTATAGATGATATCTATGTTTGTCTCTCACACTTTTACATGAACGTTTTATTTCCAATCGCTACTTCTGTACGATCAAAGTGGGGGGTGTGGCTCCCTGACTCTTTGAAAATACTTCTATAGATAGTAATCATGTCTCGTGGAGGAACTCTCGATTCCGTCAATTTTGATTTGCATATGCTATTTTTACAGAAAATTTATTTACACAAGGTGATTCCAAAATAATTCACGCCATCAACTTCGTTATTGCAAATGGAAACACCTATTCTTTTTCAATTTTAAATTATTTGCGAATTACTAGCGGCGAATTTTTCTAGTAAGTCCTGAAAAGAACCGATGTAAAAAATAAGCCAACAATCCAATTCAAACTCTTCTTGCACGTTTTCAACCATTCCTGGAGTTGTGACACGCACTTCTTTTCGGATCTACTCTTTCAACTTCTAATGCTGCCAAACTTACAACTAATGTTATCATCATTTTTTTTAGAAAAAAATGATTATAAAAACGAAAAACGTTTTGAGTGGAACATTGTAATATCCACATCTGTCATATTATTGTAATGTTCTTAAACTATTATACATTTACGAATTTTGAAAATACAAAAATTATTATTTTAACATACATTTTTTAATTATACGTTCCACAACGGACAACTGTACATACCATATTGTTTTATTTTTTTTTTAGAGTTTGTTATGAATAAGTCTTTCTTTATCTTCTATAGTCTTCCTGTATCTTCTATTCTATTCTATAGCTATCTTTTAATCAAAGTTTTCGCTGTTCAAAATTGAGTTTCATAACTGGTGGACATGTTGTACAATTCAAATAAGACGCACAACAAAAAATCATAGTCATGTTTATAAACTTGTACCTAATAAAAAAGTTTTAAAAATCAATTATCCTTGATGACTATTCTACGTTTGAACTCAATGATCACAGACTATTAAAACCCGAAATCGTTAATAATAGCCAATTATAAAATTCCCCTTGAAAATAATTAAGCTGTAAATTCGTGCTCGAATCCACTAAACAAATGTGAAATGTTATGGGATATGTGAAATGGTCACGACATTTTCAAATAACATCAACGCCTAAAAGTCGCTTAAGAAAAACGCACATTAAACTGTTGTTGCTGTTTTACTGTACAAGAGTAACAGGAATGGAAGCATGGCAGCATACAGTGGTTTTTATAAATTGCCATTAAATAAGAGTAATTACGAGTTTCATTCAAAGCACGCTGGAATTAACAAAGAGTCTTCCGGCTGAGAATAAATAGATCGGAAGTTAAACGGGGACCCAACTATTGACCAATAGTTTTAGCACAACGGTGTACTGCTAAACGATAAATTTTACTTCAGTTTAGATCGCTTATTACTTAAAATGTGGCAAAATAAGCGAAAGCTTGAAGCATAACTAGTTTATTAATATGCAAAGTCAGCTCTAGCGCTTGTCATGAAACCAGAACTAGATTGATCTTTATTTTACACAGACTATTAATGTGTCAGCTGAATTTAAATCAAACAATTTTTTTTTACGATTTTTGAACTCAATCGATTTCTAAAAGTATTCAAATATGAACACGAAAGATATACTTTAAGCAGAAGGATAATTCGAGCAAAATCACTCGACATACAAAAAACCTTCTTAGGTTTCTCAATTAAGAAGAAAAATGAACTATGAAAACGAAGGCTTCAAGATTCTTAACAAAGAAATAAACAGAAACATAAAGCTTATTGAGAACACAATTGAAGACAATAAGGGTATGAAGGTTCTGAGATCTCAGCTATCTATTAAGGGAACAAAAATGACTCAAATAAAAAAAGAAAGTATTATGGTCAATAATCGAAACGAACTAAGTCTCTCTGCCTAAGAATACTATGAAAACCGGTACAACTCCAAAGACCATAAAGTGAATATCAGAGAAAAACAATTCAAAATTTGGAATCGGAAGAAGTCCCTGAAATAAATACCGTAGAACTGGAGACCAGATCACGAGCGAACTAATTAGGATGGGAGGTGAGAAGCTGATGGAGAGTGTGAGAAAACAGCTGGATCAGTGCCCAACAGAAGGAAAAATTCCAACCACAGAAGGAAGGAATGCCGAAGTCATTCAATTGTACAAAGATTTACACCCACAATAAGAGATATTTGCAGGAATTGTCCAACCAGCAGCCAAAAAATCAAATACAAAGAATCCTCAAAATCATCACACAGAGCCCGAAAAATCAATTGGCAACCATAACAGCCGAAAGCCGAATTAAAACTTAAAACTTAAACTTAAAACGAAAGCCAGAAAATACTTCTTTTTTCTTCAAAGGCTTCAAGATTCAGACCGGATTTTCTGGAGCAAAAGGATTCACTGAAAGCCAAACAGCACGTAAAACATTTTTATCCTTTCTCCACAGAGTAACAGACAGAATAATATATAAAGCACCAGTAACTAAATATATAAGCTAAATTTTCCTCTGAAATAGACATCTTAACATATTCCTGAATTCTTGGGATGTAAGACGTCTTTCTTTTAGAAGTTTTGTACACTTTGAGTATCTGTTCTTTTTGCAAATAATTATTGGCAGTTTATGATACAATCGGTATGTAGGTAATCACAACACTTCAGCTTAAAATGTTTGCTTTTTTATAACAGTGTTTCCCATCAGCAGTTAAAACATTTCCTTGCATTGTTCATATTAGACTCTAGTTTTTAACATTTTCAGTTATACACAATATTTTCTACGCATATCTTTTCACGAGAAAACGCAAGAAAATATGTAAAATCTAAAACAAGCCTCGAATAAAGCGAATATAATAACGGGTAGTAATTTGCGCTATAGAGTAAAGAATACTTATTCGATCAAAGATTCCATTACTTAAAGAATTGGGAAGTTTAAAAACATCGGAAACCCAGCACGTCAGTATCCTATATCAAGCGACTTCGACTTAGTAACAAGAAAAATTACGAAATTCGACGAATGTGATTATATTTCGTCAAATTGAGAATCAAGTAGAGCAGAACACACTTGCGGAAAGAGTTACATTCTCAGCCGATAAAGTACTTCATGCAAGTCATTCCAATTTCGATTTTTTCTGGTTTTAAAAGCTATATTCAGATATAGTTCTCATTAAGCTACACAGAGGGTTTCACGTGTAGTGAGACAAAAAAATTGATTTCAGTAACAAATGAAGAAAAGATTCAGTGGTGTTGATACATCGATCTTGCTGATCCATGTTTAATGACTAAATTACTAAAACTTTGATACTTTTCGTCGTGTGGCTTTTCTTTGCATCTAAAATCGAATTTTTATTTTAATTATTCATAGTCTTTCCGATTAAGGTCATACTCGAGTAATAAATTAATTAACTTTAATTAAGAACTTCAGGATTTTACTTCTTAATTACTGTGTTTACAATTTACTGGCGTTTTTTTTAATTACTACAACAACAAAACTAATTTCCCCTAGATACTTACAATTAATATTCCCACTTTTTTGAAAATGTTTTGCGTTTGAAGCATATTTGTAAAGATAAAGTTATAATTATTACAGTACAGACACATTTTGGTGTGGTAGGTCAAAATAATTTTACATTATTAAGGATAATGTCGAAATATATAAGAATAGCAAACCACAAAAAATAAAATAGTTTAAAAATGTTTGGAGGATGAACAATTCGCTTTCTACGACAAAAGTAATATACTTCTTATAGTCTGCAAACTATTTGCTTTAACTGCCCCGAAGCTAAAATATTTTGAACTATCTGAATAATTGAATTTGAAGAAAGTGGATCATGTTGTAAGGAAGGCATGTTACAAGAAAATCCATCATATCAAAATAAATTTTGTAGAAATTGGATATCATGGGGAAAATCTTGTTAATAAAATAATGTCAACAACATTAACACTAACTAGTCCGAAGTACAAGAACTGAAAATAATAATTTTCTCAAATTGGCGCAAAAATTTAATTTTTCAAACAAGTTTGTGATATTTTACAGGACAATTATTCATTTACTTTTAAGAAAAAAATCCATTTCTTATGGGCGTGGGTGCGCAAGGGCTTAGTTATAAAGCTATAAGCTTTTAAAAAATAACGTAACATTAATTTTTGGGTTTTTTAAGTTATTTTTACATATTATCGATATTCGGACTAAACGTAGTATTTAGGTGTTTTGCAAAAAATTATATCCATTATCATTTTACAAAAATGTTGAATAAAATATTTTAATTTCTGAAAAATACATGCGTCGATTATTTTAAATCCAAATATCTCGAAAGTGCTTGTCCCTAGCGACTTTTAATAATAATATAGTTTTTTCGTTGAAATGACGCGGAAATTCATGGTGTTGCTAAATAACAAGATACAAGCATGCGCCAAAAAGTTGAGAGTCGTCAAAAAATAAAAAAATAGTGTGATCCAACAAGTAAGAACAAAACGAAAATCAAATTAAACTTTTTCATGTCCAAAAGCCCCCGAATACCAAGTTTCGTGCAAATATCGATACTATTTTCAAAATTACTTAGGAAAACTTCAAATTTAAATTAATTCTTTAACACCATGTAGCTCGATAAGGAGAAGATCATGCTCATATGAACTTTTTATCTCAAAAGGAAAAGTAAATACATGAGAAATTGCCCTGTAAATGAACGGAAACTTATTATGAACCACCCTGTATAATGGGTTTGAGTTCAATGATTCTGTTAGTGGGGATTGTAAAGGCTAAAGCGACCTTTTTTTAAGTGTAATATGTAATAAATAAAACAACGAATAAATAGTTTTTGTAAATGTATTTAAAAGACTTTTTATTACTTTGAGTTCTTTTCTGAAATTGTTGATATTTGGTAGGAATAAATTCGGACAGAGTCTCTTTTAACTTTTATCTTTTTAAGGTTTATTTCGTTCTTTGCTGAAACGATCAGGCAAATCAAAATTGCAAATAATACTGGGTATTCCAATTGACATCATACAGTTTGAATCATTATTACTCAGCAAACCACCTCGTTCCAAGTCCTACAAGAATACCCAATATAATTATTGATTGCTCACTATCTATTAAAATGTTAACATATTTTTTGAGTCTCATAATCTCATGATTACACATGTTAATTAATAATATTTTTTGGCCATTTTGGCATACTGAAACAAAAGCCTTTGTGATAAAATGTCTTGAGTTTTAATTATTACATTTCTGCGTGTTAAGTACGCTATTTTTGCATAAACGGTGCTAAAATGCCTAAATCATAACGACATTTTGTTTCTACTCTATTACACGGAAACACGATTTCGTATAGATCACATCCGATTGTATTCAATCCCGACTGTTCATGGTAGCTGAACTAAGCACAAGCAACTAAATAAAAAGTGCAGCTATATAAAGTGTGGTGCTGTAGAGTGATTATTTTACGTAAGTATATATACAATACAATTTCGAAATTCTTCTGCCCTCATGTAATGTTGCTAACTGCTGTTAGAAGCAAATGGTATACGCAAAGTTATTCTATTTAAATGGGCATTTGAATAGCTCAAACCGTGATGTTATAATGCGAAAAATTTTCAAAAATTTCAGAAAAACACGAATGTCTATAAAATACTTTAAAGCTTCTTTTACTATAGTATCAAACTAATGACGAATAAGATAATGTTGTTATTTATTATTTTTTATTATTTCGAATTCTTAATTGCTTTTAAACTTGCTTGAAACAATGCCGCAAATAACAGTGGAGCAATTTGTCGAGTCTTTGACATTATACTGCTACATCTGACGACTAAAATAAATTAACAATAATCGTCTGAATCAATAATTAAATTGCACAGACTTGCCGATTACAGAGATGTAGTCTTACTATTTGCTCTCATAAACTTGAAAAGTTATTAATGTTGAAAACAGCTTCTGCCCTAATAACGACTATTATAAAAATATGTGTGCATTTCTATATTTTTATTTATAGAGAAAACTTAATTGCAACCCCTCAATTAAATGAAGTTTTCAAGTGCCCAAGTTAAATTTGCAGAAAATATCATACCATTAGAAACCCTACATCCTCACATAACAATCAAATAAAAATATGTTAAATTTACATTAATAAATAAGTGGAATTGTTCGAATTCTATCTGAGTACAGTTCTGTACCACCCAAACACAACTTGATTTTGCTACTATTGCATGGATTCAGAAGAATACAATTGCCTTTTAGTTTTGCTATGTTTTCACGTAAGGAAAAAGTACAGAAAAGTAGTAAGTGTCGAAAAATGGAGCAGTTGATTTTACCTAATGCCAAATTGAAATTCTGTGTTGATCAGTTGCAAAATTTGAATTTTTTGTTTAATAACCGTCTGGATCCTAGTGAAGCTGCTGAAGGTTTGTCTCCGGGTAAGTACGCAATTTATTCTTAAGGATTTTATGCCAACGTTTAGATCATTACTTCATTTAAAATATTATAATTTATTGCGGTTTACTATCCCATGATATGTGTAGACTTTCAATTACATCTTATTTCAAACCTCCTGTTAAATATCAACCGGGTTCAGACCCAACTAGTGCATACTAGAAAGTGTTTGAGATACAAACTTGATGATTTACATCTATGCAAAAGATGCATAATTTATTTAAGCTAGTTTAAGTGCAACTGAAATGTTTTTAAACAAAATCTTCTTTACTTCTGTTAATGATCTAATTTACACCGACTAATGCTTGAATAAAGTGAAGCACTTATATGGTATTTGAACAGACTTGCAAACAAAACGAGACACAAAAACAGGTTTTATTACAATTGTAAAACTGTTGAGACAAATCGTGCAGGTTATAGGAAACCTGCGGCTGAAGAGTTTAAATAGGGTTATGAGTTCTACAAAAAAGTGCAATTGGAGCAAATTTTGTGCCTGGGGACAAAACGTCCAAACTTTCTATCTATTGTCGTATGGCCAAAAATGTCACCTACAGTTTTAAGTACATTGAAAAAATCATATTATTCAGCTTCAGTACGAAATAGTGATACCAGACAAGAAGGAAAAGGCTGAATTTCGGACAATATATTTAACAAACCTTTGGACAGTCCCTAGAGCCATGCAGCTTACATCTTTGTAAATTTGAATTTAGATTTTTCATTTTTATTTGATTTTCATATTTATTTATGTAGGAACATGCCCTACAGCAAATTCTTTTAAATGGAATAATCTTTAGCCCTTAGCATATATTTTACAATACAGCTGTTAGGGTTGCTGATGAAAACTACTAAAGCAGGATCGAGTATTAAACCTGCACAGCGGAAAAACAGAAAATTGACAGGTTTTGAAATAAATGAATTGGAAAAAAATGTCAATAGACAAAACAGAAATTGAGAATTAGTAAAAAATTCAAAAAGTTAACGCAAAGGTTCTAAATAATACTTCTGACGGCATCATCCTTCAGATCTTAGTTTATGTGAATGTTTTTTATTAACTTTCATATTTTCAACCATCAAATTTACATATTTATGGAATGATTACTATAAAATATGTTATTACTTTCAGATTTACTCTATTTATTCTGATGTGAGTTTTTTTGTAGAAAAGTCCATTTTATTGGCAAAATCTGTTACTGAAAGATTAGTTCAACGGTTGTTATGTGGAGCAGCCCAAATTGACCCAAGGTTTTCTTCAAAATATCTTATAAACACGCGTATTGATCAAAACGATGTAAGTAGTTATGCCGATTAAATTCGACTAACTTATTCATTATTCCGTGCGATTTTGCTTAGTACACCGCAACGCACTTGGAATATGTAATCCGTTTAGACAATTTATCGACACCTACAATTTATGAAGACTATGAGAGATCCACATTTGAAGTTCTGGAAACTGATAAGGATTGTCCAGCTGGATATGCCAGAATTCGTCTAAATGGATCCACGTTTAAGCAATTTGAAGAGTTTATAAATTCTTTTGGGTTTTTAAGAAGGTGAGAAGTACGAAAATGGCTGTGGAATGGAAAATTAAACGTATATAATATTGCTATTAAAGTAGACAGCAATGAGCATATAAACCATACAAATACTTGTAAATTGGAAAATCTGTCTGTAGTTAAATATATGCTGTCAAAGACAACTTGAACAGTAATTAAGGGATTGAGAAAGGCAAAGTAACTATTAACTGTAATATTTAACTAACAGTTAAACTTGGAAAAAAACTAGTAAATAAATCACATTAACAAAGTTAAAAGCTAACTACGTTGGGTCAGAATCTGTAGTGCCAAGTCTTGTTAACAAGGAAAATAGTAAAAACCTTACACAATATAAAACACAATTTTCATGTTATAGAACGTGCCGGCCTACTGAGGTTTACAACTTTTGTTAACATATGGATTTGAAATTGCAAAGAAGCAAAACTCAGAAACAACCAGAAAGAAAATTTCTTGGTCGGAAATAGTTTGCTTCTTTCCAAATATAATTGTAGTTTACTGATATACATAAAATTGCCATACAAATAGCCTAGTATTAAAAAATAGTATATTGAGATGTTAAAGATACTGTTCTGTGGATGCAAGTTTTATTAAATTACATAATATTCAATTTTTGCAATGTTTAGCTCAATATTGTTTGATTACTTCATTGATCAACATACTTTAGAGTCCAAATCAAACTTCCAAATCAAAAGACAAACCAAAGACAAATTTTTATTTCGAAAAATTAGGAAAGTTTATGGAGCAACTGAAAATACAGGCAGTATTAAAGGTAATTTTCAACAAACTTTCAAAATTCTTTCTTTTGTCTTTCAGAGCTGCTGGAAATGTTTGTTTAAAAATTGTGTTTGATCCATTAATCACGCATCAGACGATATCAGTAATCGCGATCAAAATCACGGTTTTAACAAATATAAAGTTATACCTGAGGTGCTGCTTGATTATCAACTGATGTTAACTTGCCTGCAGGTTTTACCGCAATTCTTCAAAATTTCGATCAGTCAGAAGACCAACCTTCTGAAAATTAGTCATTAGATTCTATAGTACAACTTCCTAAAGCTGATCTTCCTTAATCAATGCGAAGTATATTCCATAGTTTTCAATGTATTTAAAAATATGACCTAAACCTAACCTGATATATCGGCATACCACCGTTTTCTTTAAAAATTGTTTTCATATTTCAATTTTTTCTTTATTATATTTTGTCATGTCAATGAAAAGAAAATAATATGCAAATATTCCCTTGTTATACCTAATAATAAATATTTGCTTGCATTCGGTTATTAAGATATTTATCGTCAATTAATGTTTTCCCAGAGATCGCATTCAAGCAAGACTTGTGGAACTTTTAGCGCAAGCTGCAGGTAGTGATAAACCTACATCACCCCTACACGTGGATGAATCCACTATGTGTGGAATACCCGGGAAAATTATGGATCCAGCAACGCTGTACCATGTTTTAAGTATTCCAGCAAGTCAACATGTTTACTATGGCCCAGGTAATAAATAATAATAGCAAACATTGAATGAATTGTTTGCAAAAGACGAAATTAATCTGCTTATAGGAGGTAATGTTCCAAGATTTCCCGACACCCGAGATTTCCGGCTGGCGATCGTAGATGAACCCAATGGCATAAAATTAAAAGTGGAATTCCTATCTCCAGCTTTAGCCGATATCTCAATAAAAGTCACTATCTTAGTGGCGATAGGAATAGACTCTTGGCCTGCCACTAGCGATTTTCCGTCTAGGATTCCATTAGGACACTCCGATTGTTTACTGTATTATGAAGCAGCCCTAACCGTAAGAATTTACTTCTTCTTAATAAAAATTTATATATACGAGACCTAGACTATATTGTTAGGAAAATAAATTGTTTTTCGGTCTTGTGAGGCAGCTTTACTATTTCCGCGTTTTTCGTGTTCTTTTGGGCGACTGATTGAGCTACTGGCGCTAAACAGCCTTACGTACACTTCAGAAACCGTTCCTCTATCAAAGAGGTGGCAAATTTGAATATTTTATACTGAATCTAACAATATCCTATTGTAGTTGGGGTTCTTTAACAGTTAAAGTTATAGACGCGATTCCTATGAATCTAATCTTAAGACTTATAACGCGATTTGAAAATGGTGACTTAAAGTAATATATCTCTTAATAAAGTGAAAATAAGTAACATGACTTAAAATAATTAATAAATATGAAATAGGCAGGCAAATGCTGGATTTGGGGCGTTATGGTGGGTGTGCGCCATTGTAACAGCAGAATGTTCTACTTGCTTGTGACTGCGTGCAATACTAACCAATGCAGTAAAATCCTTGTATATATGCATTATGGAAAAGTTGCAACTGCAAGACCGTTGGGTCATCATCAATATTCACTAATATTGAACTTGTCTCCTGCCATGTTTCTTTGACCAGCAGGAGAAAAATATTTTTTATTGCATTTTTAAGCTTGTGACTTGTATTTCTCTTTTTCTTTTTAAACTTTTCAATATCTTGTTCTGTTATCTTTAATGTTTATTCACTTTTCGATATTTTTATTGTACGTACTTTCCTGACTGTGTTTCAATTCCAAATTAAAATCAAATCCTTGGTTCTTCAGTCATTTATTGTCTATTTATCAATTAAAAAAACGTTTCGGTGTTTTCCACCATCATCAGTTTATGAAATACATGCCAAGGCGTAAAGTAGCAGCAACGCTACACATTGAAACTGATGATGGTGGAAAATACCGAAACGTTTTTTTAATTGATAAATAGACAATAAATGACTGAAGAACCCAGGATTTGATTTTAATTTGATATTTTTATTATAACTAATAACGATTGAATTTTCCTGGTTTAGTGTGGCTGTCCTTCAGGAGGGGTGTCTTTCAACATTTCTTCGGACGTTGCCTTTTGTTCGGTTAATCTTGAATGTTCTTCTAGATGCATAGCGACTTTTAAATATTTGACTTTTTCTTCATGAATATAGGTTTTATATCTTGGATTCCTCTTACTAGAGGACTTTCGGCACTTTCGTTTGATGTATTTATTCAGAGTTTAGGTTTTTTTTAAACGATCTTCAGGCTCATGCTGCCGATCTCCTTCCAAGTCAACTTCCTGCGAAGCCATCTACGTTCTCCGATTTTTCTGCGGGTAATCATTCTGGCAATTCTTACAAGCCGCAATCTCTGAGCTTCTTATTCAGTTTATGGGGGTGATTTAATCCGACTCTCGTGTTCCAGGATAAACTTTTTGAGCGTCTTCTCTTTCGGACGACATCTGAAGGATCGGCATTACTCTAAATTAGCATATTAAATGGCGAATATGAAGATGAAGAGTTCACTTTTTTAAGCCGAGCTTTATATATGTTGAACGAACAGATTAATCCGAAAATAAATAGAAAAATGACACATTTAAAATTCTGTTTGGAACCACAGAATTTACTTGTTTCATTGTAAGGCAAGGTTTTGTCCGTGAAGTAATAACACGTTTTGTACCGACTGTCTCTAATCAAAAACTAAGCGGTGCGTCATACATCAATAAATTATGCAAATTTCGCTTAATCAGTCTAAGCGGTGATTTGGTAATTTTTAATTAGTAAAATAAAATATTTTAAGTAAAATTATTGTATAAAGTTCGTTTTTGCTGATCGAAGATATTTTACTCAACAATTGAATAACGCTAAAAAATGTAAAAGAAATAGTAATCAATCTATAATCAATGCGGAGTAATTTGTTTTAGGGAATGTATCTGGTTGGTTATGGAGTTCATTCGTCTGCCTGGCAGATTAGATTGCCTGCTGCAGAGTTCACACTGTTAAATCATTATGGAGCTAATAGTGTTGTGCGAACCATTCTAGATGTTTTATATCAAATCTTAAAGGATATTAATTCTTACAGAAAAATGCGAAAACCCGTAAGTACCCGCTGTGGGATTGTTGATTTGTTTTTAAAATTAGCTTCGATATGTATTAAAAGTGCATCTGTGAGTTGTAATATTTATAACAATAAGAAGACATTTCAGTTTTTAACTCTCAATAACCGTAATACCGAATGAAATGAGATTTTTAAATGTTGCCTTTTAAATTTTACGTTTTGCTACCCATAATGAAAGAATTTCATAATGAAAGACATATTTTCGCATAAACCAACAAATATGCACCTAATATTAATAACATGAGCAATAACACATTTTTGCCAAATTTATTGCTAATTTGTTTAAACTATTATTTATGAATACCCCCAAACAATACCATCAGAGAAAAGTGTCAATCCAAAATACATTATTTTCTTACTAACTTTATCTTTTTGAATAACGAGTCTTTTGCATCTGTGTTAACGTTTCGGAATGATTTGTATAATTTGGAAGATTATAGAAACAATTATACAGCGCGTCCCAATCTCGGCCCGCGCTATATCAAACTCCACTAAGTAAAGTGTTAAAGATCTTTTCTAACAATTTAATATTTTTAAAACATTTTCTCCCAATTTTATTAGATATTTTATATATCTTTAAACGTTCGCTTGTGCAAATAAATTTTAGAAAAAAACTGTTTTCAATTATTAAATTATTAACGAATATCTTTAAAATCTGTAAATTAAGTTGAAAAAGAAATCGTTTCTGGTTATTTAAATTGTTAATGAAGATCTTTGAAACTTTACTTAATAGAGTTTGGTATTTCTAAAGCCTTATGTGACCCAGTAAACAAATGGTTCGGAAACCGTTTCTGGAGAAACAGGAAAATAATGTAACCCAAAAATTGTTCAAAACTTGTTATCCAAAAGGTTAAAGTTAGTAATAAAATGATGAATTTTGCAACGTTCCCAACAACGTTTTGCGCCTTGGAAATTGAAACTCTCAACTAAAAAAGTTAAATCATTTTAAAGCCAATAAATAATATTCTCCACCCCTAGTGAAAAAGAAAGTCCTCTCCAAGGAAATACAAAAATATTCAATATCCGTAACAATTTCTGAGTAGTTGAACTTTCAACGAAGTTTTTCGTCAACAAACACATTATATTTTAATAATTTTCAGATCTCCTATAAAATATTGAATAGATATATGTTGTTTACTTTACTCTTGGAAGAATTGGAGGAAAATTCAACGACGCCATTCTACGATATGGCTTTGTGGTCTCCCATGTACTTATCAACTTTGGTATTGAAATTGCTTGACAAAGCAATAAATAGGTATATATAACTGGCCAAAATGATCTATTAGCTCTACATTCTTTAAAATCTTGCGATTTTAGACTCAGCTCAGAATTTCAACCAAATTATTTCTTTAAAAAAGCTAATTTATTAGTGAATCCTGGACATTTATGCGACGAAGACTTTACCATTGAAGCAAATAATATCAAAGGATATATGGTGAAGCTGTTTGATGAGTCACTAATGTCCAACATTGGTAAGAATTCCTTTTCCCAATAGCATATCAGAGAGTAGCAGAAATAAAGAGTGTATTCAACTCCCAAGATGTTTTGTCAATAAATTAAATGTTTATGAAAATAAAAAATTATTCAAAAAAATACGCAACGTGCAATGTTGAATAATTGAGGCAAAAATTTTGGGCTCATTTGTGTTTAAAATTTTTGGGTCTCTTAATAATTCAATTACCATCAGTATGTAGCGGTAAATGACGCCGTTTTGTAAACCCGAGAAAAAATGTCTCGGGATTTAAACGCCATTGTCGTCCGGCACGTTTTTTTTTGTCAAATTTCTCAAAATATCAAGAGAATATATATAAATCTATAAATATCTATAAGAAGCCGTATTATTTTAGTCCAGACAGATCACCTGACTGAACGTGCTAAGCATTTTACTTGTGGGAAAAATTAAAATATTTAATGTCTTTCAGACATGATTCCAAAAAATAAAAGGAAAATAAACATTTATAATCAGTGTAATATTTGTCAGTCCCTCATCGGTTCAGTTTTAATCATGCAATTTATTTTTGGGGTTTATTTAACTATTTAGTCAGGAAATGGTTAAATATTCAAGAGTGGTTTCTACTACCCTTACCCTGCTCATTTTTCAATTTCCTTTAGCTGCTTGATTAAAAAATATGTTAATTTGCGATTTTCAGTGTTAATTTAGTTCGCCACCGCTTATGAAACTCGAATTACATTTTTTACAAATGCGGTGCTGCAAGAAAATAAAACAATAATCCTCGCAAACGAGAGAAAATCTAACGAATCTGATTTAGTCAATCCCGAAATATTTACATTATTATTACACAATAAACAATTTTGTTCCGATTCTTTGATTGACTGATTTGACTCTTGTTTATAATTTAATATATTACCATGTTGCGATTCCCCGAAGGAAAACTTGAGCTTGAAAATGGATAATGATTTGCGAGAATTCGGAAAGTTGCTCCCGAAGACGATTCCTCGATTTTACGCAATTTCACACTGTATATCTGCTTACATCTATATTTCATACAGGTAACGACGGGTTTTCAACCTTGATAAATTCCCAAGAATCAGAAATGAATCTACTTTACAAATGGAAAGGATTGGTGGAAAATATGGCTCCACCTTCTGGAACGAGGGGAAGAAGGCTATGCTTTGCCGGTTCTAAAAACCGTAGAGAAATTGTCCACACTCAATATACTGCTCGGCAATTGGAGTATATAGGATTGGTCTTACACAGCATGCTAAAAGTTAAACAGCATATCCTACACGTAAGAACTGACCATTATATTGCTGAAGACCATTGCTATCATATGAAAAATTTGATATATTTTAGCCTCACTATAACACTGGCTTTAAGAGCTTGTATAGTCCGGAAGAGGAGCTTGAAATGCAACCTTTAGAGGATGTAATTTACATACTAGTGTCTTTGCTGGATCAAGCAAAAGAGCAATATCTTTCTTTGCCTAATACAGACAGCAAAAAAATCAGTGCAAAGATTAAGTCGCGTTACAGTGATTGTTTGGCCAAACTTATAGAGGTCATACGAAAAGACAGAGAAGTATTTTCAAAAAACTCTCCAGACCTTTATGACGACATAACGCTAGTTAAAGTGATTCTCAAGTGGCTTTACAAAGCTATGGATCAGAGCAAGAAGTATTTTGCTCCAATTCTCAGGCCCTATTTAAACACTGTTTTTACCGCTAGTTATCACGTATCGTATCACATAGAGTTTATCAAGGAAAGGGCAAAAACAGATGAAATTGAATCAATGGGTGCTTTCTGTCTTTTGGTTAATACTGGAACGATTACGCCTGCTCAAGGGCTGATAGACTCCATAAACAAAAACTGGCTATGGGCTCGAGATATGCTTCGAATGGTGGAACAAAACACTTTGAGATTGGTGTTTATACAAACCAGAGGTAAAGTGTATCGACACATTCTGTCTTTGCCATCATACTCCAAAGATAACGACTTTGAGACCACTGGGAGCAAAACTTGGAACGACAAGGCCAGGAAAATTCGATCGATTAAAAGAAAATCCACTCTTCCGGGAAGAAATTATTTCAGCTCCCTACTCCATGATGGTAAATTGATTTGGTTCCGTCTGTGCATCGTCAGGCTTTTCATTTAAAAGTAGTTAATTACAGAGGCAACAATTAGCAACAGGAATACACCACAACACGAAACTCTGAAGTCAAATTCGCCTCTTACTATTATTTTGCGAAAGAAATACCGAATGGGGCAACATAGATGTGCAGGTGATCTATTGAGAGCGATGACTACAATGCAGAAGCTCAGTGTAAGTTCCTGTTAAACGCATGGAGTCATCCAATGAAAGAAATAAAATTTCGACAAGTGGTTAAGTGCTAATATAAATAGCAACTAACTGTAGCAAATAACAAACAAAATATTCATCAATTAGACAATTTTAGGTATTCCAAGAAGCGACATCAACATTGCCAAAGGAAGATCAATCGAAACTACTGGATATAATAGATAACATTCATACGGCAAAAGCAAAAAGATCGTTAACAAAAAAATGGTCAAGTACTCTGCCTCATAGCAGCAAAATTTGCCCTTCTCGGGAACTGGTGCAGAAGTATACACCAAAGGAAGAAAGTGCTGGTAATTCTGAATATTAATTATTACATTAAGTCACAGAATTAGTTGATAGTCAACGAATATAAATTTATATGACGAATAAGTAATGGTTTTCTGTAGGTATTATTAAAATAATTTTCTATTATCGAAAATTCTCGCACCACAAACTTAATGAGTCTGGAAATCCCACACCTTGTATGACAAAGTGTGCTAATAGTTACCAACCAAATTGGACTTTTATTATATATTTCTTTGGAAAGTCAGTGACAAAATAGTATCTTTGTCGTCGTTGCTTTTATAACATTTTCTTTGCCACAACAGTAATAACTCGATGAACAATTTTCAAGTTGTGTAGACGTAGTTAATTGAACAGTTTAGTAGTATGTCGACAACGGATGATGAACAGTAATATAATATAAAGCGTATTTCTTAATCTAGAACACAAATTTTAAGGGCGTATTCCTCAGATGATTTTACTAGGAAAATTTAATATAAACATAGGGTCAAAAGTGCTTCGTTTGCGATCTACACGGTAAGTTAATTATTTTTAGATTATTAGATTTTATCGATTTTTTATTATTTTTCAATTTCCCAACTTTGCAAGATTTTTGCCATATTTAGTATAACATTTGCTCTAATTACATGTCATTAAAAATAAATTTCGATAATCAGTCTTATATTATATTTTATTACTAAATTATTCTCTCCCATTTTTCGAGGACGCATATTTTCGCAAAATTTAACTAGAAATTCGCTGTGCGTTTTTAAAAAGCTTTCGTCTATGTTATATCAACGTTCATCGTCTGTTGCCGGCTTTTTAATCATTAATATTTCTTAGATAGTATTTAGCATTTGGGCAAATACACTTAGTTATTTATTGTTTATTAATTTAAAAAAAGTAAGACTTCTCGTTTACCTGTTAATCATGCCATTTTAGGAATAAGAATTTCTCCTGAACAAACCAGAAAAAACAAAAAACCAATTTTGCGAAAGGAAAGTCTACTAGGTACCAGCCGAGCGGCCAGATTAAAAGAGGATAACAATGTATTCTTGCTGCAAGACAATTTTCGGATACAATGTTTAGTTAATAAATCGGAATTGTTATATAACTGATACCCACCCAGACATTGTAGTTCAAAATGTTAGGCATACAAAGAAAAAAATGTTTTATCTTTCATTAAGAATAAAGTTGCATGGATTTATATCTGGTAAGTGTATAATCCAAGATATATCCTTATTTTCTTTTTTTTTTAACTAAATATATTGAATCTTGAATCTGGATCGACCATTGATCGACCAAAAGACCAATGGAAAAATCTTGTCCATATCAAGTTACGTATTCCGTAGCTCGTAATGCTAAGAGTAACCAAAGAAGGATTAATAAATTTTACACAAAATATTAAGCTCAAAAGGCTCAAAGATTGAAACTGTTCCGACCCAAGCAGGCGAGAATGGTGAACTTTCCAAGGTCGAAAGGTCATTGAAAAGGATATTTTCGGAAGAAATGTCTCTAAGAAAATTATATTATATATGTTATTAAGGGAATAATCTACAATGGAAGTCAATCGAATCCAACGAGCCCAAAACCAGATAATTTATTTTCTATACGTGAATTAAACACAAAATTAAACCATTTTTATACAAATTATCAATAATAACAGTTCGAGTTTCAAGTTTTTTTTTTTAAGGAAAGTGCGTGCAGTTGAGGAAAAGTGCGCATTTTCCGTCGCTCTTAATAGTGCAAAGTGAAGCATTCACAAATCATGGCATAATTTGCGAATGGTTTACTTTGATTCTGGTGGATCTGCTGAAAATTGTGCAGCCTCTCACAATAGATCAACCTAAAAAGGATATCAGGTTTTATGACAATTTAGCAAACGAAACGAGAGCGAGTATTTAATTTAGGATTCATACGTCGTCGCTCCATGAACGGCGATTTTTGTTTATCTTTCTTTACTCGGGAAAGCAACTTTGTTTAAGCTAAATATCCAAACCAGTTCGATCGCCGACTGGAATTTTGCAAAAAATCGTCAATAGGAAAAAACTCAACTCGAACAGCATAGCAATACCATGAGTCACCCAAAGGGCCAGCGAGCAAACGATTCTATGATTATATAGGTTCTGTAGCTCGGTACGTTTTTTATGTGAAACATCTTCATTTTCTTTTCTCATGAACATTTAGTTCAGTCTATTATGGGCTAAATCCGTCGTCTATTTTTTGTTCATAATCGGGATAAAAGTACTAATTTAGTGCCATTTAGGCACGAACGGTCGACCATCTTACCTAGTGGATTGCTGAGTGTAATCCACATTTATTTTTAACTTTGTTTGGATTTTCATTGTGCGTTCGTGTAGTGTGCGCTTTTTGATGTTTAATGGATTGACAAAATATAATCGGGCTTCAATTGGCAAAAAGCAGGTAAGCAGGATTATTAATCTATAAACCCTTAACTTGAACTGAGTTGTGTTTTCGAGAAACATTTAAAGTTTTATTCAGTTTCCTATTTCTTTACCCTTCCATTTAAATCTCTGGGTTTTCGACTAGGTTTATGTAATAATCCAGATTTTTCTCTTTTTTTCCCAGGTGGTGCAATTACCCTGAGTGATCCCGGCCAACCCATTTTGATTTTGCTCTGTTTTTTCAATTTTTTTCTTCTTTAACCAGCATACATACATGTATAATTGTTATTATATTCTTTTTCCTCCTGGGCTTCCGTCAAAGAGTGAATATTTATTTAATCATCTAATTTATTTAAAGATATTTATAAAATATGTGTCGGATTTGCTGTATAAAAGTATAGAGTAGAAAATAAAAAGGCATATATTTAATAAGTACATTTATTTAATTAGAGAATCTTGTAAATTAATTAAACCACACGCTATTGTAATTAGGTACACCATCAAGAACTTTGATCAAACTTATGTTAAGGCAAGCATGTGCTTTTAACATATTAAATTCTCGTTACCGTCTGATCTGATCACCCGTTCAATGTGAATCCTCAAGCTAGCTATTTGTTTCCTTAGCTTCAGGTTTAAAAAGGTTACCCATCAAATGATACTCCATATAGTTTTCCATATCATTAGACAGCGGAAAGGAGAATAAATAGTCTATAGGGAATGATAATTGTAAAATTATTAATATAATGTTTATATAATTGATATTTAATCTCAAAAAACATTCTGAATTTGTCTATCAATCTAAAGCAAATCCTTACATCAAAGTGGCCTTTACAAAAATTAAGTTTTGTATTCCTGCTTATATCTGATGGTTTTCGCCTTGCGAGCTTTAGCCATTTATCTCACTATTTTCTTGATTAGAACGAAAACAAACAATTTATTAGATGTTGTTATTGATGTGTTTGTGCATAGAGGACCCGCACAGCACTTGTAAAATTTGGAAGTCATTTTTAACACTCAAAATGTATAATATTTTGTGAACTTTCCTCATCAAACATAGACACCGTGCACACTGAATAAGGTCGTGACGTTACAAGCAGACGACATGACACCCACGAGCGTTTTCGCGCCTTATATGAAATGGTAAGATAAAAATGCGATTATTTGAGCAAACATATAATTTCTTGCGGAAATAATGATGTTTTCGGATATAGTAGACGTATACCTACATTATACAACGGTATTTCAAAATYTGTCATCTTGCCTATTGCTTCGTCTGTATTTTTTATCCCATAACCCTAAAAAGTCCAAAAGAAAATTGAATATGGCGCCAAATTGAGAGCTTGGACGCTCAGGCTGCAGGAGCGCTGTAAATAGAGTGGGAGGTCTAAACAGCGAGTATTCTGTGGCTTCTATTTATGTGTTCTGTGCACAGATGACAGAGCGATCTCTGTGATCTGTGGTTGTCTGCATTCTGTGGCAACCCGTCTTGTGACTGCGTGAAGAATTCTTCTGGATCATAGCGAGTTATTTGAATCGAATTTATTGAAAATGGGAATGGTGAATAGTGTAGTGTTGTGAACTTGCTTTTGGAATATTATGTGGTGATTTAGTTTATCATATAATGCACTCTTTATTTGTTACTGGACGCCTCATATCTCGCGCTTTATTTAATGGAATTCACAACTTTTCCACTGCGACAGACCCCAAATTACAACAGAAAACGGAGCCCCATTTGGTGTCAGCTGTCTGTGGCTTTTCAAAGGAGAGGAGAATTCAAAGACTGGTCAAGGGCCAATTCGGAGACGACGCCTGGTTCTCAGCTAAATACAAATCCACTGATGTCCTAGGTAAGTTGCTACATAACCTTGCTTTTATTTGCGTAGGTCTTTCAAATAGGGGCCTCTAATTAAGTTACTTTTAAGGCGATTTAGTCATATTATTTACTGGTTAATACCGGTGGCTGCTCGATTCAATTATGAAAGTTTCCAATTGTAATTCTTGGCATAGCACCAAGTCCAATAAATATGAACTTTGCCTCGCCAAAATCAAAAACAAACTGTATTTATTCAAGTAAAGGTAATGTCTTCGACTTGATATTCTCTTTAATTATGTTTAATCTCAAGCTATCACGCTTTAGTTGAATTATTTACCAATTAACATTTTCAGCCAATTGACCTTTTTTGCATCAATAATTTCTAGATTATCAATAATTCAACCAATCATAAACCGTTTAGCACAAAATTGTTTTATTCCTATTAAGGGGTACTTATATTGGTGTATCTATTTGTCCTACTTTGAGTTTTTTCTTCTTTATTTTTCAAGCCAATCCCATTAATATGTTTTCTGTTACTTAAGAAATTGATACACTGCTTCTGCAAATGCAATAAAGACACTACATTCATTTAGAAAATGGCAGCAGCTTAGTACTAGGGCAAGGGTTGGCCACTTTTCTCTAGTTAAGAGCCATTTCTTCTCCCATGTATTATTATTTTTAACATACATTGGTAATATGTATTAGAAAAAAAATATGTAACCGTTGTTGCTTGTTCCGACTGCAACTTTATTCACTTTTCTGTCCATAAGTATTTGTTTTTTAAATCTACCAACCGTATCAGAAGCTCAGCAGCTAATCCATTCGGTATTTTTACGAATCTTAATTATTTTCATGTATTCAGTTTTTTTTTCATTAATTTATTTAATTTATTATCTCTTGAAATGCTTCAATATTTTTATTTTGTGTATTTTGACTACATATTTGTCGAGAATTTTTTAACATTCATGCTTTTACTTAGGTGAGTAATGTTCGGCTTGTATGTATCCTCAACACCAATGGAATCACAAAGTTTCACTATTTTTCGTTGTTTGCATTATAATGTGATCAATGATGCTTCCTGATTGCAATGCAATACGAGTAGCCTGATCTACCCTAAGCGTATTTGGTATTTTCTAATAAGCTTGAATTTATGTCTCCTACTATTATATGTTATGTATAATATTTAGATATCCAATATTCAAAGGATTCTAAGAAATTAATAGTCACAGGGAATCAAGACCATTGTTCATGTTGCTTGGAAAATTGCTGTGGTGAGATGGGAAATACCATTATTCACGTTATCTGCAAATGTAACGTGCTTGCAAGAATAAAGCGTATCTTGGACGACTGTTCTCTCGAACAAAAGTCTCACTAGGGTAAAGTTTGCTGCCGGATATGGTTCTCACGTGTAGTGTAATGCAATAATAAGGAATTTGTTGCTTTTTCTTGTTCAAATTTTGCTATGTCCAAAGATACCTATAGATTTTAGTCACTATACTATTTTCAATGCAGAATATAAATGAGAGTTGGCAAACCGGAATGATGTTTTGTAGATCAATCTCAATCTGTCGGTTTCTGGGTGCTCGAAAGACAAATTTAATTTTTGAATTTGTTTTGTAGCATCCACGTCATCGGTTATTTTCTTTTGTGGTAGCAGAAACTTCCACTTTTTACCTAAATATAAAGATCACTGCCCTTTGCATTTGCTCATTAGCATGAGCTCATTTGGTTCTATCATATCTTAGCTAAATAATATATATATATTTTTCGTTTTCTTCTGGATAGTTTATGTAAATATTCTTGCTCTTTCAAGAAATATCCCGATAAAGTATAAGTGTGATACATTTGCAACTACTTAATTGTAACAATGATTTGCAAGTTTAGCATTTTGCACTTTAGGTATACGTACCTTTCCTGCTAATCACTATGCGTTACATGTACGTATCATATATGTAAGTAAATACAAGGTGGAGCTTGCAAGACTAATGTTTCGGAAGTATGGAAAAAAGTTGGGAAAAAGCATTTAAAAATGCATAGATAACACTGTACAAGATACAATCAGTTTGAAAACACACACACAAATAAAATACCTAATGTGTAAGTATTGTAATAATCAATATTGAGGCTACTTTAGTACTTTTATATGCGATAATATCACTTTCATATTCAGTAAAATAAATGAAACTGGTTCTTTGTTCTTGTTTCTTTCTCCTTTTTTCATCTTTATCAGTTTTCTTACTGTTGTACTACATCCTTGAGTTATGAGTGCAACTCTTTATATTATTATTAATTATAATGTCTTTGATCGTTTAATAAATTTATAAAAACTTGTTTGTCTGTTTTTAGCAATTTATGCTAATGTGGAGATTATTATTAAACTGAATTACTATTACTGACTTTCTATTTTGTACCTTTTCTTGAAAAGCCACATCCAAATTAGTTGCTAGTGTAGAACACTTACACTCCATATGAAAATACTGTATTTTATTAAATAAACGATTTGTTTACAGCTACACAAACTGGCATTCAGCCGAACACAATACACTTTATACGATGAATTGAGTTCGAACCTATCGATATAGGATTTTTGCGTTCAACCTCATTTTTATATTTATCAGATCATATATTTTTTAGTACAACCACCCAGGCCCCTTAAATTAATAACCAACTACATCCATTTACATTATAATTGATCATACTTTACAGTGTATAAACTGAGTACTTTTGACACAGCGCAAGACCATTCGAGTCTGAGAGTTTCGAGAAGTTCTTCAAAGTTCATATTTTCAACTTCCTTACAATATTTGTTATACTTCTCTTTCAGATCAGTTAGAAAAGGGTCGTAAAATTCCGAGTCATCAGTTTGAGAACTGCAACCGCTCTCTAGAGAAAGTCGATTTGAAGAGGCTGTTGAGTTAGAAAGTGTGTCCTTTGATAGTGATTCACGTATTGAATTGCCGTTTTCGTTTTTTAAAATTAGCGTGGGGACCGTTTGGTCATATTCTATTAATCTTGAATCATAATCAATTAAGAAAGATTTGCAATGTCCAAGAATTGAGTGGTTGTATCTAGACGTAGAATCTATTGTGCTGTAATTTACCATGGCTTTTAGCAGGTCAACTTTTTCATTGAGCTTTGCGTCCAAATCGTCTACAGCCATTTTCAAACTTTGCATTTCCTATGGAAAAAATTACGAATATTTTACTTATTGTCTACCATACAGTGCGTAAAAGTGCCCTTCGAGCATTACCGACCTGAGAAACTTCTGGTATTAATTCTTGCACAGCAAAATAGTTTGTAACATCTTTTTTAAGTTCCTCTCCCAGATTTTCAACGTAGGGCTCCTTTATACTCTCAACGAGCTCTTTGCTCTCACTGTAAATATTTTCTGCTTCAATTTGTAAGTTTTCCAACATTAATCTGTTATTTGGATGCCCATGTAATGGTTTCAGCTTCTTCTGCATTTCAGCATATTGGTTCCGGATAGTGCTTTGGGTTTTTAGCAGCTTTTGCTTTATTTCAGTGTCAAAAAACTGCTCAAAGTTTCTTAGGGTCTGCCTGTCGTATTCATCAATGTAAACCTCGATATATTCTTCGAGAAATACCAAATAATTACCAGCGAGAAATAAGTACTCTTTTGTGTCACGAATGCTTCGTGTTTCGCATTGATTTTGCATGTTCAAGTATGTTTCATAGAGATTATTCAATAGCTTATGATAATGATGTGCTATCTGAAAAGGGGTCAAATTAATAACTGTTTTAATAAGATTATAAAGCTTACTTTATCTTCGCTTAAAAAAAAACTGTGATGAGTGTTATAAAAATCTTGCGCATATACTAGGGTTTCGTCCCAACCCTTTCGTAAAAGCCTATTTAGATCACCAAAGTAAGTATTTTCGTGCTGATGTGCCTCAAAGTTGAACAGTGTTTTGGTTATTTCTTGTTCAATTGGACCGTGATTTTTATTGGGATTTAGAGAATGTTGCATAGTAGAATTTGACTTCCATACTGCGGGTTCTCCTTTTTCCGAGTAAAATTTTATTGGTACAATCACATCCATACACTGAGCCAGGTTTTTCAGTGTTTTAAGTATATCTGTTGCGCCATCCACAAATTCCTGTTATTCATATCGAAACCCATTAGTTAATGAAGATACGCGAAGGTAGGCATGTCACTTTACCTCAAAGTAGCTGAAATTTCCGCATTGTGTTAGCATTTCCAATTTGAATTTTTCACATTTATCATTGAGTGTTTTGCGTTTTTGTGCCACTGTACACACCTCTGTTAGCAAAGCTCTTTGAACAACTTTTTGCTTTTTTTGAAGAATTTCCACAAATTTATGCTCGTCTATAATGGTGTTAAGAGTAGAATTGAACTCATTGCTTTTTAGTTGTACTTTGGCCAGCGTTTGCGTCTTAAAAAACGAGTTAGTGCGAAATTAAATAGTGGTACTGTTTTATAATTTTACAAATTTGAGGACTTATGTTAACATGTTTTTGTGGTGCAATAAAAATGCAATTATTCCTTTTACGTATGTTTCCTTTGTTAATAAAATATTTTTCCATGCCTTATTCTAGTATTATTTAATATTAAAACTAGAAGTTATATCTTCAATAAATTTATACAGATAAATAACAAACATTTCATTCAACTAAGCGCGGGGTGTACTCAATATTTTTGTGATCCACTGTATATGGTATGTGAACTGTCGGAGATACAATTTAAAATTATTGCAATCTTATGCATCACGGTATTTACTGCGAATTTAAAGTACCTACATTTTTCGATACGTCCAAATAACCATTTGGACTATATTTCAATTAGATCGAGAATATATCCGATGTTAAATTTAGGTGATATTCTCCAAAAGAGCTGTATATTTGTATGGATTTATGGAAAAGAAAACAACAACATTTAATGTTTCTATCTAAAAAAAATTATACATTGGTCGAGGATGTCATTATACATGTTGCAAATTAAGAGTATATATTATGCTGTTATTTGATCAATAAAGTGCATTGTAATTTGCTATTCAAGTGGGGACGGACGGTAAAGAAAATACCTTGTTAGACTCTACATCTTTTCGTACATTTGTTACAGTTTTTTCAACTTGTGCTTCAATTTTTGCTAGCTCTTTTATGACATTTTTCACCTCTGCTGCCGAAAAACTACCTCCATCGTAAAAAAGCTTTATATTTTCCAAAAATGCAACGTGCGATGATTTAATGCTGTTTGCAAATGTGTTACATTTGCTCAGATAATCCTGGGCGAGCAAATCTATTTTTTCTTCCGTTGTTTCTGTTTTACCATTTAAAATTGGTTTAAGGGAAGCTACTGCACAGGAATTCATAGATTCTAGGCTTTTTCTTTCAAAAGCTTGAATGGCATTATAATAATCTTTGGTAATGGTATCGAATGAATCTTGAAGGGATCTGAAATAAATATGCTTTCAAAGCACAGAAGATAACTTCATTTTGTGAAAAAATAAGGCTTACTAAGATTAGATTGCGTTGCTGTGTGTACTGAAGTATGAATTACTGATTTAGTTTCGAAATGTTAACAATAATTTAGGTTCCTTCATACAATTTCGTTGGTTTTGGTTTGACAATTCTCAAGTGTTATTGCAGACATTTATAAGAAGCTTGTAGTAAACCAAACTCAAAATTTATTGCGTATTTAAAGCTTTGAAGCTTTTTGAAAAACTTGCTTTGTTTCAATAAGATTGTTTTAAAGGACGCGAAGTTGTTATCAATTATACATACCTAAGCATGTCATTCAGCGTGGGAATTCGTCGTTCCACTGCATTTTTATGTTCAGCAAGTCTGCTTTCATGTATGCAAAGTTCCTCCAATCGCTCTTTGTAAATATAAGCTTCTATCGACCTCAAACGCATTCCGTGAATGTTCAGTCTAATGTCTTTGCGCTTTCCCATGCGAATTATGTGCTTCTGTATCCACTGGTCCGTTTCCTTCATAATTTCTGTTTTAGCAGTTTCCACATAGTTACCAATGCACTCCCAAAGTCCAAATTGCCAATTGCTAATCGCTCCGATTTGAAATTCGCAATAGAGCATCTGATTGGGAATTAGATTGTCGTTGGGATCTGCGATTTCGCTTGTTTGGCTGGCTCTTTTTCTCTAATATGAAATGAATTATTACTAAATTCTGTGCAAAATTAACTGCAAAGTGTTTACTTGGATTTTAGGGTCTTTTTCTTTGTCTGGTGGATACACTTCCAGAAACCGTTTCACCTCCTCTATAAGAATGTCTACTTTCAACTCCAATAAATTTTTATACTTCTTTGGCACAGCCACTTCTGATTGATACTGGTTCATATACAGTCCTTCTATTACACTGAGCAGTTTCATAACTTCGCCCATAGTCTTGTGTGTTTTTTCCTTAGACGCTTCTTGTCTTAAAGTGTCTATCAGTATGTTCATTTTGGTCTCGTAAGGTTCGGTTAGAGTATTGTTGAGTTTGACCATGTTCTCCATATCTTTAAGCATTATCAGTTGAAGCACTTCGGTTCTTCGAAAGTGTTTCTGCCATAATATGGTGGCCGCATTCAGAAAATTGTACGTGTTGTCAATCGTTTTGGTCAATTTATCAACTAATTTATTCCAAGCCTAAAACCATATGCGAATCTTGGTTGTTAATTTGAAAATGCGTATGGAGTATGAATATATGAATTATGCATTGGCGATTTTCGGGGAAACTGTGTACTTACTGGAATTCCAATATGATTACGTTTTAATAATACTGTTTTAAAAAATGACTTACATAGATTTATTCTGATGAACAAGCAAATGGCTATTTTTAGTTTAAATTTCGCTTTTAATATCTTTTCTATAATACATTGTTGAATTTTTAATAGCGAGTAGATTTGCAACTATAAATTCCTTCTGATAGAACAAAGAAATATTTGTAGCAGTAGCACAACATAGCCCAACGAATATGTTCGAAAACTTGGGATTTCGAATAAAAAAGTTTGAAATAATTTTTTTTTACGATTTTAAATGGGACATTTTGCATGTTTCTACATCATCAGCTATGAAATATCATTATTGAAAAAATACGTAAAGTTTATATCGATGTTTAACATCGAAGCCGTGAACTCATCATGATCGACAAATTTAGACATTCTGGTAAAGAGTTAACAGTTAGCTAAATAGAGTCTAGACTGTCTAGAGGAATACTGACTATTTCGTTTTTCTATAGAAAGTTTCAAATAAATCCAGTATGTTACTTTTTGTTAATTTTATATTTCGACTTCATGGGATGGGGTGATTAGCTGGCTGGATATCTCGATTAAGAAAGTTTGAACTTTTTCTGTCGGACACATTAAAGATACAGTTTAGTACAAGATCACAAAACTCTTCTTACCACTCATAATTATACGAGTGAAAAGTTAGAATTGATTTGGCCATAATACTAAAGTTGCTGATGAGTTTTCGGGTTTGAGTGGAAAAAATCTCATTTGTGCACTCATTTAACTTATTTGATGTCATTAAGTAATTGAAGCTAAAATCGGATTCGAAACAATAGTATTCATAACTTTCGCTTGCATATGTAGGTACACTTTCTACTAGTGATTGTTGAATGGCGTGTTAATTCTGGCCAATATTTACCGTTTGAATGGTGTCTATCTCCACATCGTACAGAGTTCGAATATCCTCCAGAGCTGGTGTGTACATTTCAGTTTGATCTTCGGGAATCGCTTCCGCATTGGACATTTCTCTTAGAGCTTCTTCAATCACATGTAATTCATTGAAGCATCTGTTATATATTAACACTGCTGCTTGCTTATAGTTGATTATGATTTTCTGTGCTCGTTGATCCACATTGGCCAAGGTTTGCCTTAGATTATTCAACCACTTGCTCGGATCTTGTTCGACTGAAGTCAAATCGACCGTTCGTAGATTGTCTGCAAGTTCTTTCGTTTTGTCTTGCAGCGTTTGGATCGTTTCGGACAATGCTGGTGTGTACTGTTTTTTCAGATTGCCTAAGGCATATTCGGATTGGCTGCGAAGAAATTTAATCCAGCAATCTTTTATGTGACGAAGTTCCTGTATAGCATTTCTAGCATAGTTTTGGATTTCTGCTTGTAGCTGACACTTTAGCTCTATATAGTTTCTGTTATTGCAAAGGATTGTCTCATTTACGTTTTTCAGCTCCATTTGAATTTGCTCATCGCACTCGTGCGGTAGCCTATTCGATATTCGCTTGATTTCCTGATAAAATATTTTTAAAGCATCGCTAAACTCTTTCGATTTTTCCTTTTCCAATTTTACAGAATTGGAATAAAAGCTTTCCACCAAGCCATCCTGCTGTTTGGTGTAGTCGTAAATTCGTTTATAGATATTCTTAAAATTATGTTTTTCCATGTAGTTGGCATTATCATGGTTCGATTTTATCTTCGAATCGAACAATTCGTTTTTAATTAAACCCCTAATTTCGTGCAAGCCGTGTTTCAGCTCAGTGGATTGCTCTTTAAACAGCCTATCGTACTTGTCGCAAATATCTTGTTTGCTTTTGTGCAAGATTTTAATTGCCCTTTTTTCCTCTGCAGCTTTTTTTTCATACAGCGCTTCGATCACTTTGGAGGGCCTGGACTGCCCTACGAAATCTAGAGGCAGGCATTTCAAATCGAAATCGTCCATCTATTTGTTGAACACTAATCGCAATTTTATTTTTACGGAATCGCTGTCAAAGTAATTACTAACAGGAAAGTCAGAAACTTGCTCCAAGTATCGGCAGGTTTACGTACCTAGGCTGATTAAACTATTGTAGCTTTTAAACATGTTTATGTATTTGTTTTTTTGTTTGATCTGTTAGATATGTGTTGTAGAAACGAAACATTCTAATTTTTTATGCGGTTGTGAATTAAAACGTTTAATATATGTATTAAATTAGCATATGTGGTATTTATGCGTTTGAGTTCTCACGTTGTCGGATGATTCGGATTATTTTTATGATGTAAGTAAATATTGGGTTCAGTGAGGTAAGGTGATCTGACGTTAAAAACATGACTTGGATTTTAATTTGGTTTTCTGACTAAGTATTCTGTTTGAGTGTCGATTTTTATCAAAAGTTTTCTCTAACCGAAAACTAGTTTTGGGTCTTTCCTTGCAAACTGTCCATTTCTGTGTTTGATTATATTCCGCTTTATTAGAAGTAATTATGAATTTTTGGCTCGCCTCGCGGCCTCGCCGTTCTAAAAATCAGAATACTCATTTGAAGGCAATATTCTTAGACTCGTTATTACACTTATGTAGCAGTTATGAACGATTATTACATGTGAAATACCAACTAGCAGGGCAACGCCCAATTAAAATGACGAATAGAATTTTACAGTTTTAATTTACATCCAAACTGTCTATCGAAAGATATCTACAACAAACACAACTAAGAATTACTAATAGTCAGTTACCTATTGGATTATACAAATATGTCCAAATGTCCAATCGCTGATATACCATGAAGCATAAATTGGGAGTCGACAATATAATTAAGAAGTATTTTTTGAGGAAATGGAAACTCTCTAAAAACATTCATTCAAGGGAAGTAGAGATGCAATAATCTGTGCTGTGCTACAGTTATTTGAATRAAACTAGCTTCGTAATTGTGTGTATCTAATTTAAAAGKATTTTACCATTTTTTCGAAAAACCTTTGAATGTAATTTAAGTCCAGAATTCTATACTTAACAAAATACTCAATTGGTTTTTCTAAATAGACCTTTTGAATTACATACACACATAATTACGAAGCTTATTTCATTCAATTTTATCCAGTATGTACACACCCACTTCCTATCTTTTTCAATAAATTGCGAAATCCAAACGTAGGCACCAATTTTACATTACAAATGGTTTTACAGGGTATTTCAATAAGAGCGTCGGGTTTTAGTTTTAAGTAAAACATTATATATATTTGTGTTATGGGTTTGAAACAATTATTGATTAACAAAGTACACATTATCAGATTATGAATGGAATAAATGATCATCTAGCGTTGCCGGAACAAACGTGCTTTTTTTATGAAATTTTCAGTGGTAAAGCGTTAAATATCGTCTTTTAAGGCTTTAACCGGTTTGCGGTTGTTCACTTGTGGCTTAGAAAAAATCCAAATAAATCCAAAGGCGTTAAATTTCATGATCTGGGCGGCCAATGTCGATCTCCAAAACGATAAAGTGCACGACCAGGAAATTACTCATGTAGTTTTTCACCAGTTTCTCTGGCTGTACGTCATGTTGCACAGCCCTGTTGAAACCACATGCCGTTGGGATCCATATTTTGAATTTGACTTAAAAAGTTAGTGACTATTTCCATTCAGGGTTAATGCTTGATCAACTGCACTTTCGGAGAAAAAAAGCATGATGCATCTGTTTGTCAATAACTGGTTGATTTTCTGAAGCCCACATGCCGCAATTTTGTCGATTAACGAAGCCATCAAAATGAAAATTATCCTCGTCACCAAATTATTTTCGATGAAAATATATATCCTAATGTTCCAAAATTCAATCAGCTCTTACTCTTCGTTGTCCATAGTTTTCCAGGTTTTGCTCTTGAGCCTATGTAACTTTGTACATATAAAGTTTCAAATATTTTGTTAAAATTCGTGGAAACGCTAATTTTCTAACATCTATACCGATTTGATGTGGCTATGGCTGGGCTTTTCTCAACATTGGCAGGCCCTGTGCTGCTGCGATATTTTCAGGGGAGCTACCAAGACTAACGCGTGTTTCTGTTTTCACGTTATTAAACGGCTCATTTTGCTCATTTTTTTTTTATTAATCTTCTCAAAGTGGCTTCATTTGGAACCATTACGATGGCCAATAATTTTACGCTTTGATAATAATGTTTTACAATGAGAATTCAGTGTTGTGTATTGAAGGGCTCTTTTACTACTACTATCTACTAACTACTGTCTACTAACAAACGGCCAGTTTTTTTAAATAGCAAAGCCGGCGTTCTTGTGGGAACACTCTATACATATTGACGGCTTTCATATATCTATCTTCACTTTGCGTTTTTTGTTTCAGGTGTTGCTGATGGCGTGGGAGGGTGGAGGTCCTATGGAATCGATCCCGGAGAGTTTTCCTTTCACTTGATGAAAACTTGCGAGCGTTTAGTAAAATTGGGTCGTTTTGCTCCTACAAACCCTTCAGAATTATTAGCTAGTAGCTACTATGAACTACTTCACAATAAAAAGGCAATTTTAGGTAAGTATTGCTGCGGCATTTCCGCGTAATGCTTCAATACCATTCGGTTTATTCGTTAAGTGAGTCAACTGAAATTTAAACAATTGCAATAGTTCGGTTATCGTTATGTGATTCAGCACACCTTCTGGGAATTTCAAAATTGTTTAACTTACTGATTGCAAGCTTCAGGCTGCATCACTAGATTAATCGAATTAAATCAAGCTCCAAAGTTCACTCAGGTATATCCTCTTAGTAGCCATGCTTGGTTTCATGGAAATAACTCGGTAAAAGCGAAAGCCAACTACTTGACCAAACAATATTCTCAAAATTCCTAAAATGATCAATTTTTATCTGAGAAATTTGGACATACGTAAGACTTATTTTTGTCTAGCATGTCTTGATTTAATGCATGGCATTTATATGAAATGTTGCCGGTTACTTTCTGGATTTAGCAATGTTAAATTGTTTTTCAAATAACTGGCTTTTTCCTATTAGAACTTGGGCAAACGTTTACTTAAAGCAACATAGATTGCGCGGAATACACGACGTAACAAAATGTGCAACTAAACTTTACTCCCAAACTTTGAGAAAACACGAATCTTAATAAACATTGCAAGACACATTGATCCAGTTCTGCTTACATTCTTTTGGCATGTATGTATTTATTTTGATACGAATTGATCCACGTTTAAGATTACGTAATCAAACCAAGAAACTTGTACCAAACAATTACACGTTAATTTACAAAATTTGGGTTGATTATCGTTAATTAGCTTAATTGTGTTAAGGTCATAGATTAATATTTGCAAAAATACGTTAGTATTATTATTATAACGAGTATTTAACGTCTGGCGCTGTTGATTTATCATCGAGATATTGAAGTGTTTAATCTCCTTGTTAGCCATTAGTATGCAATTTTGCAACTCTCGTGAGTGCCATCATTCGTCGACCAAATATCACGAGACTACACATTATCGGTAACTACGCAAAATTGCCAAGATTTTCAGGACATATTTATCATTGTAGGAATTATTCAATTGCAACCTCGATATCTGTTGGTAAAGCGCCAGTTAAAGTTTTCAGTGTAACACCTTGTTCTGTATGACAGAATAACTGTTGTTTCGTAAACATGAAAATGTGTAATTTTGTCTAAGAAACGCTAATCTAATTTCAATTAAATAAATGGCTAAATTTTAAAGTTTTAGTGATAATGTTTTTCCTGTTTTAAGAAGAGGAATTAGAATAAATTCGTTCATGTTGATCGAAGTTATTTATTAACAATCTGTAAATTATCTGCAATAATTTTAAACTCTCGCATTATTATTTGACCCAACTTAGTTTAACTCAAAATTGGATGATTGTGGAGTTGCAGTGACAGACTTGGTTTTAGTTTTCGATTAATCTGCAGATCGTTTAAAAAAACTGTCCAAGGAAATTTGTTTCTTGCCCTCTTTCAGGATTTTGCGGAAATGAGTTAGGCAAGTTTCGTTTGACAACTCCGAAGCCAAGTTGCAACTTTTTCGGGGTGATTTTTATCCCCGAACTCCACAACTTTCTCCCACATTCCCAAGATCTCCCTTATATCTCTTGTAGAGATACAACATCCTCCATTTCTGGCTCCTCTTCAAAACTAATTTTTCTTTCACCACCGTGTGCTGCTGCGAATGTAGATCGTATAATTCCTTCGTTGTGATACTATTCCTCGACGAGTTGGTTAATATCTCTCTATATCCACCTCCAGACCCACGGATTTTCCCAGAGAAACCATCTCCTCTACCACTGAGACTTCGGGTTCCAATCCTTCGAAGGCGTAGTGTGCGATTCCTCGTATCTCAAATTTTGCTCTCCTCTCAAAGTAAAATGTAACGCTCCTCGGTGGTTCGTATCTCAAAACACTCGTATATCGAAGTATCACTGTACTTCAATTTTCGTGTGCAAGTGCAGGTGATATATCACGAAATTAATTGTTTAAACTCAATTATCTCAAAAGGAAAAGCTTAAATCAAGTATGAAGGTCCGTTTCTCGTAAAAATAATTGGAAATTGAGATATTTTATTTAAGGTAGAATAAAATACAGTAATATACAGTGTCTCAAAAAAGGGTATTTTATTATAAATGTGTGCAAAGCGCACTACATTTTGAAAGATAGCTAATTTAATTTTTTTGCCCTAAAACCAGTGCGAATTATATGGCGATAAACGATAGATCAAAAAATAGTTTTTTTGATCTATAGAAAACCGCACAAAGTTGTCCCTAAAGTAAACAAATTATTTGAAAGGCACTATTCTTTATTGCTGAAAATATGGAATTCCGAAAATGATTTAAATCTAATACAAAATTAAATAATTCCTAATTTAACTTGGAACAGCAGGCAGGAAATAAACTCTTACTTCTTTACAATTTGCGAACCATCTGGGATTCGAAGACTCAAAAGAAACTTTTGTGAAAACAGTAGAAAAATCAACAAGTTGATAAATGCCGTACATAATTTCACGCAGATGGTAATTTGTCGTTTGGTTTTTTAGCCATCATAAAAAAAGAATTTGAAACGCCCAGTCACGGTCCCGTGGCTGAAAGCATTCGGAAAAGTCATGTGGAATTTCAAAAATAGATTTAAGTAAATGAAATATTTATTATCCTAGCGTGAGGCTTCTGTATGCTTTTTGCATAGGTGGTTCCAAACCTTGCATTGATGCCAAAATATGTGAAAGTCGTAAATAAACAAAATCATTTCGGTAATGCTTTCGTTCCGATTGGCCACAGTCACGCAAAATTAAACTGATCGGCATTTAAGTAACGGTTACTTTTAACCACATACAGTTCCAATCTAGGGCGGTTTGAAAATTTCAGTATCTAACTGTATTTGGTTGGGACTCCCTGAAGCATGCATAATTGCTCATTTTGCAATTTTATGATTTCAAATCTATTTCTTGAAGGTTTTAAATCGCCTTAATGCTTTGCAATTATAGACTTTTGGATATACATGTGCATATAACAGGGATAAGTACTTCCCTGTATAGAATTACATATGAAAAATGTTGGCCTCAATCCAACAAGAAAGTACTGGCTTAAAAAATATATCATTGTGTCTACACGTTGTGTAAAGCCTAAACAAAAAGTTATAAAAAAGTTCGAAATAAAGCTTTCAATTATAATTTTGATTTATATCGAATAGATGTAATTTGCACAGAACCATTAGATAGGTGCTTGACACATTAACGATGGGATCTATTCCTACTAGCAAGTTCCGCAACTTACTGGTATAAATTACTTAAATGATAATAAAAGTCGGTCGTTTAGATAATTATGATGTTTACTGCGTCACATGCATATAATAGATCCAAAACTTTGATTTTGAAGCCAGACCAGTTTCAATCGATTAAAGTAGTAACGTTCTATTACGAAAAAATTGACATTTTCGAATAACAAATGCATTCTTGCAGCAGAGTCTTGAGCATTAACTACTGTTTTTTTTCGATTTCTTAGCTATTTGGATCACTACCAAATGTTTCAATCATGTGCTTGAATTTTTTTAATGTGCCATATATTTGTTTGTGTTTTTATCAACTGGGCATTAGCCTTTTTGTTGGCAGTTGTTCTTATTGACAACTTTAAGGTCTCATTTATCGCCAGAAATAAGACGTGGGAAGACACTCTTTTTCTGCTTAACTACAATTTAAAAAAAGACAGGAACTTTGCGCATCTTCAAGTTATTTATATGCCTATCAATTGCAAACATAAAAAAACATCCAATGTATACCCGTATTTCAACTAATATGTTAAACTTCACTTTTAATCTTGCGATTATTTTCAAAAAGTACATCGTAAACTACATACTTCAAACCGTCTTAAATTAATATTATGTTCTAATTATCGGTAATTGTCAGGTGGTTAATCGAGATAGTACATCTGAAAATAATGGTAATTTAAAACGTGCATCAAGGCGTTGTCTACGTTCGGGTGTGGACTTGGTCAATAGTTGTCCTGTAGATTTTAACGAATTTTTCATGCAACTTCTTGTGCGTTAAAATTGCAGTTTTCTTTTATCTTTCTCTTCTTTGCTTTATCTTACTGGCTTCTCTTTATACTATCTACTCTTATTCATTGCGTTGAGAACTCGTTTGGAAACTAAATTTTGATACATTGAATTCTTCTCTACTGATTAGAGAGACGAATTTATCCACCAAAAAAATAATATTTTTATATGCCTTTTAGTTTCACCTGTTTGTTATCTTTATTTATTATGCAATTAAGCAGCCGGTATTTTTTTTCAATCACCCCAAATAATTAACGAAACCGAAATTATTTTCTTTCCAAAATAAAACACTCCTTCTCTAAACCAACATTCCACACTTGAAAGGAAACGTAACATCTAAAGAAAATACTACTTTTGTTTTTTTTTTGCTGTTAGCTAATAAATTAAGTTCCGTTGGAGGCTCGATTTTTTATGAACTCCAGAACTGCGAAGGTCCCAAAGTATTAAAAATAGATATTATCGTCTTGTTCCCGACATATTTATGTTCATATCTGGTTATCTGCGTTTGTATGGCCCTATGAAAACTGACTTATTGTAATTGGTTTCTTCATTTATGCGTGATCTTGTAAGTTATTAGTTGTTACCTAATTATTTATTTATTTCCAGGTAGTAGTACAGCCTGCGTGGTATTCCTAAATAGAGAAAATAGTACTCTATATACTGCAAATATTGGAGATAGTGGATTCATGGTAGTGAGAAGAGGTCGGGTAGTTAGGCGATCTGAGGAGCAACAACATTACTTTAATACACCATTTCAGGTAAAATGGAAAATCTTCTTTTCAATGAACTTTTTATTGAAATATTGTTTTTAATTCTGCAGCTTTCACTGCCACCACCAGGGTACAGGGCGGACGTTTTAAGCGATCGCCCCGAATCAGCATCTAGTGATAATTTTCCTGTCGAAGACGGCGATGTAATTTTAGTAGCTACCGATGGGGTATTTGACAATCTGCCCCAAAATATTATTTTAAACGAACTTATAAAAGTAGGTATTCGTTCATTTTATTCTTACAATTATTTGATTGTTACGTAAATATCAACGGCAAATGCAAAACCTGGCTATAATATTGATTTTTTTATTAAGTTGGTCCCATCGTTCGTCAAGCAACTTCAAGCCCCGATTGTACCGAGCACGCAAGAAGTAGCAAGAAAGAAAGTCGCAACTTTCTTCAAAACTTAATTTTCGCCTCGAATCGAATAATCCGGGCTTCGAAATAGATGGAAGTCGGATCGGTAAAATATCTGGCATATCAGGATGATACTGGGAGCACTTCTCCACTCATTTCAGGCGCAATCCGAATGATATGCATTCAAACTATTTGCAAATCAGTGTTTTTTCTAACCGAATCTTCAATTGGATGGAACTTTAATTTTAACTTTACACTTTAATTGAGACTTTTTGTTCATTTGACATCAAATTCGACTACAGGTCTCGTCAAGCGCATATTTGCACTTTGCGTGCTCTAAAGTATTGATTATGAAACAAGGAATTATCTATCGGTCCTGGAGATGCACCAGCTTACCACCCCTCGAAATCTGCACTTGCTTACATCACAGGGAATTATGTAGTTTAGAAATGGAATTCGGTCCTGATGGAGTAGAAGCTTCTTGACTACATCGACGTGCTTTCTTCTTTAATTTTCAGTGAGGTCCTACGGAAACAATCTTCCTTTTAAGTATTTTTTAAAGTATTCTTTACATAGAGCATGATTATTCGGAACCCGATATTATTTGGATAAACAAGCCTGTAACGGTCAGCTTGAAAAGTGCCACTTTATTTTCATCGACGCCCATCTTTTCCGATCTCATCTTTGAGAACATTTTCAATAGTTCATTAACGGTTTTATGTTGTCTGCTTTTAAACGCGGTATATGCTCTTTGGCTCTTGAAAAACATGTATTTAACTTATGAGCATCGATTTTAACAAGCGCATTTTATTCAAGAAATATATGTACCTCAGATATGAAAAATACTAAAATAAAACTTTTTACGAAAAAGTTGCATAATAAGTAACAAAATATATGTAACAATTTATTAGTATATTGCTAGTCAGGTTTGCTTAGTAGATTTGACTAGCTATTTTTAGAAGTATACAGGCTGATTGGCGTCATTCACTGAAGAGACATCGGGAGTTTAAAAAAAGTGTTAAAAGCTGAATCAGAATTTTGGCAATAAACACTTTGTCGTTTTTGATTTGCACACGCTGTTTGTCGGCTCCTATTTAGTTCTCAGAGTTTACAAGAATTATTGCTCGAATCTGCACAGTTTGATGTTGAAATGAAAAGTTTTCTATCTAAAATATGCAAAGATTGAAAGAAGTGATTATGTGATCGGACCGTACATATATCTACTTTAACAGCCGCTTTTGCTGTTATTACTTAATGCTGTTTCTTTGAAAGGTTGAAATGATGAAAATTCTGCACAAATCCTTTAAGTGGTTTTCGACTAACTTATGCTTGATCCTATCAAACTGAAAATGCTCAAAGACGTGAGCAGTTCACTAGATACGATTTTTGCGTTCTTTGGCAACTTACACCTCAATTGAATCAATTTGCTTGTAATAAACTTGGTGCTTTTTCGACATTCGTATACCTTGCAACAATATTTAATTTTCAATGTTCAGAACTCCTTTAAAAGATTTTTCTTATTCTTATTGTGCCGTCTCCCTCCGGAGGTTGGCGATCCAACTGGCAAAAATTACTCTTGACATAGCTGCTCTGTAGATTTCGGATGATGTTTTACTCCTTGAGCCAGGAATTCTCCCTATTGACCTTTTCCCCGGAATCTTTCCTTCGATGATCAACCGAAGTATTTCATATTTAAAAGATTGCTTGGTAGCCAAGCTGAAGTTGCATCGTCAAGAACTAATATCCTTCGAGAAATGATTTAAATCTTTTTTTACACCTGTTTACTCAAAGTGTTCTCACTGGCCCCTTAATGGAATAAAGCATATGAATCACCCTGAATTTTATTAAATACCTGATAATGCAAATAAATTACAAGTTTAAGAAATTTCCATTTGCAGCGCCATTTAATGCGAATAATGTACGTGGAGTGCACAGACAATATATCTGTAGTCACTGAAAATCTTTTAATCACTTGCTTTTAAGGATTTAAATATTGATAAACGTATAATTAGACATGCATTCTCAGAAATTGGTCGACAACTGTGAAATGAAATTGATGGTTTACGTTTGGTATTTGTTAAGTGTGATTATGTCAACTTGTTTTTTAAAATGTAATTTTGATGCCAGGTTTACCTGATGCCGGTACGATTTACTTAGTGAAACAACGTTCCTTAAATTACATATTATGGTCACAGATGTTGACACACTGAGCGCAAAGTTCGTGTTTAACTTGACAATCACTAAGTTATAGACACAATTGTTTTTATAAGCTTTTGAATCGATTCATTACATAGCAATTTTATTCTTATGAAAACAAGTATGGTATAAATTCAATTACTGGGTTCATCCATTAATCGAATTTAGCACAGCACACATATTAATTAATGTAATTTTTTCCAGTGTCAAGGCGAGAGGTGTGCAAGTAGATTACAAATGGTAGCTAATTCGATAGCTTGGATGGCCCGAAGTCTATCCTTCGACGAAACTTTCATTTCTCCGTTTGCTGAAAGGGCTTTTGCCAATGGCATAAACACAATAGGTAAGGATTTCATATCATTCATTGAATCAACGGGTTTTTAATTGAATTGAGACCTTCCAGTTGCAGATTTTAGAACTTGTTTATACTGTCGCTCAGTTTGAATCGCGAAGGACGTTTATTACGTAAACTTGAAGCAGTGCTTCAGTTTCTAAAGGGTTTTATTTTTCAGATGCTTAATTTTTTTAAAGATTTTTAGTAACATTTTGCTACACCTCCGTTAATTTATGCGGGAAATTTGAATTAAATAAAATGAATTTAAATTAATTAAATATTATTATTAAAATAAAATACAATTAAAATACAACGGAAACTTTCACAAAGTTTTACTGGACCAACAACTGATAGTACAACAAGCCTGTAAAAACAACTCTATAGTTGCGTTCAAATAAAATGTTCTACATATAACATTTTATTTGATAATAATATTTAAACTGCAATTGCGTAATTTAATTCCTGGAGATATTGTATCATAATCATAACGACATAGTCTTTTGTTTACTATTTTACACATTTCATATTCAATTTCACAAGCAGCGATTTATTTGTCAGGTTCGGTTCGAAGGTGAAAGTTCCATGCCCTTTTATTTGTTGCTGTTTGTTCATGATAATAAGTGATTTAATAAATAATAAACATATCCGTTAAGATTAATACAAATAAGTATTGGATTAAAGAGTGAAATACGGGTTCAAAGTAGCATAGTCCCCGATCGATTACCAGCATTTCAAATTATTCATTGTTTAGGTTTCCGCTAATAGATAATCCTATAAGAGTTCAGTTGTACAAGATTGACTATGTAACGCTTTAAATTACTTACTAGAATTTTATTCTATTTCATAAATTAATTATGCTTTACAGTTTTTTTGTCTATAAGCAAATACCGACCTAAGAGTGTTGTAGCATTTATTCGGTGATTAGATGATTTATGTGAAAAGTTTCGACTCATCTAGTTGTTTGTAACTGAATCATTTGAGTTTAATGCAATTTTTAAATTATTACATTTTGATTGCAGGTGGAAAGCCAGACGATATAACCGTCATTCTGGCAACTGTTGCAATATGAAGAGATGTTTCTTTTACGTCATTAGGACGCGTCGTTTGTACAATAATCGATTGTTATTTGGTATTTCCTTAATTTATAATTTCATTTTCTCGTCTGCATCTGTAATTCATTCCCATATGTGTTGTTCCGTTTTTGATCTAAGTTTGAGGTTGTTAAAAAGGCTTATGATAAACCAACAGAAACTTCACAGTCGTCAGAAATACAATGTTCGTTTTGAGATTCTCATGTTTTAAAACTGTGAGTGGCCTATTTTAGGTATTAGTGGAACTGTGATCTGGTTTTAATATGTAAATGAACAAAAAAGAATAATTAATCTGACTAGTTTTTAGGGCATTTGAGACAAGTCATTAGTTGTCGTTGTCTCAGTGATAAACTTATTTCTGACCGTACTGATTTAACTACAAACTTAATAACAACGTTCTGGTTGCCAGAAAAGCAATTTCCTATTCTTTGTTGTACAACTTGTGAGTTTGAACAGTTCCACTATTCATTTTTGTGAGGTTTCGATAATACCATAATCATCTCTAAGTAAGGTGTACTTTGTACCTGAGACTCTAACATATATTTTATTGATAACTTGAAATTTGCCGCAAAAACCACGTAATTTATGTCGAATAAGCTTTCAGAATTTCCTATGTACTACCAAAAGTCATAAAGTTGTAATTTATCAAGTCAAACTTAATAGAAAGCTGTTGAAAATTTGAACTAGAATTCATTGCATTGCAACAAACAGTTGAGTACTTATGTCAGCAATAATTGCAAATCGTTGTAGAATAAACACTAAACATGTTTGATCGCCAAAACGTTATGAGTTACAGTTACTTTAACTATAATATTTGGTTTTGATTACAGAAGAAAGTGAGCGATACGAATTTTATCAAAGATTTAGTGCTTACACTACACAACAAGCCAATAAAATGTGTGTTAGATACAGGGAATAAAAATTCGGAGACTGCGCTTATTGTAAGTAAACTTAATTTTAGCATGTGATATTTGAGTTTCTAAAATGCTTGTACGGTACGTTACCAAGTGCATATGTTTAAAAGTTAAAAGTTGAAGGACGGAAAACGGCTCAGGTACAAAAATAGTGATGATTGAACCAAATGTTTTACCTAATATTTAGGTTAGACTTAGTGTTGTTTATGTTCCCTTGGCTTTTTAAGCCGCAAAAAACCACAAGTGGTTTAAGTTTAGTTTCGTGCTTAACAATGTTGTATACTCATTTCACTTGTTTCCTTGCAACTGTAAGTGCCGAGATGGTTAATAAAATAGTTGTTATTAATTAACAATTTGATACCTACTGTAGAGTCACTTGTTAAGTCTCAAACAAGCACTCGATGAAACTTTGCATTTACCAAGAGGTTTTGTTGGTAAGTAAATAGCCCCCACATTCAGTTACATAAATACCAGAAAAGGTTAAATATTGCTTCAGTTTTTCGATACAAAGACTGCTTGAAGATTGAAACGTTAATATCCAAGAGTTTAAAACATTGTATTGTAGTAATGCAAACAAACACATTAAAGTTATAAACAACTGTATAATACACAAGTTTAGTTCATATCACTGATTGTTTTCCACATTTTGTTGGTTCTCATTTCTGCCATTATCCTCTGCAATTTCGCGGTTGCCCCAATCAAAGCCACCAGGATTATCTTCGGGTAGTCTTTGATAATCACCAGTCTCAGGTAATTCGTCCAATAATAGTTTTCTTTGAAAAATAATTCAATATCATGCCTATGTTATCTAATTGTATTAAATAATATTTTTAATTCTGTTTCAGTTTATATACGGGGTGACAAATTTTTCAACTCTAGAAGACTGATGGAGGGAGAGTACGTGGATAAATATTGTGTCTTTTGAGTCTTAAACTTTAAAGAACTAAATAAAATTAAATAAAACAGTTTCAGCGAAAAAATTCCTGGATGGTCCGTAAATTAAGCCAAAAAACACACAAAGTTTGAGGGAAATCACCATTTTCAGGCTAGATTTTGGCTGGTGTTGAAATAAAAAAAACATATTTTTTATATTTCTTTGTTTTGAAGAAACTTTATCAGGTGCACAATTTCTGGGAAAACCACGCACAAACCGAAAAAGAATTACACTAAACAACGCGTCAAATAGAAACCAATTCGCTCACAGCATTCAGAATGTTTTTAGTTTCAAAGTTACTACAAATTTGTCAGGGTAGCGTTACTTTTGTTGAGCAGATTAGTTCTCCATATATGGATAGAGAAAGCTTATTATGACATTCCCCGTATAATCGTCCATTTTTCAAGTGGCAATAAATGCTAAACTTGATCTTTAGAGATCCGCTCACTCTTTACGTAAACTCCCAACAAATCCCTCAAATAGAATTGCCAATTTTAATCACCCTGTATATGTAACTGCAACTGTTGTGGAAATTTTATTTCCGATGGGACATTTTGCAGTTATGTTCGCAAATTACAGGTAAATGTGTTAGTATTCAATAGGAGAAGAAAAACAAATTGAAGACTATACTTACAATACATTGGGTGTTTTCAAGATTTTGAATCCGCCTCTTTGATTCGGAAAAACATCTTCCAAAAAATAGTAAATATGTCCAACAGCTATTCCCATTAAGTCCACGTAAATGGCGTTTCCAAGCAGAACGGAAAACGCCACCAAAACCCATGGCAAGTACGGGGCCTTGACAAAAAAAAATGTAAGGGTAAAGAAAATATTGAAATTGTTCTCAATAATACTATACTATTAAAACACATTTGCTTTAGCTGGGTGCTACCTTATCAAAAGTTATTTATGATACTAAAATATTGTCGGTTTTATTACGGAGATGGTGGGAATAGTAATAGATTAAACACTTACCTGGAAATTCAACAACCCGAAAAAATTCATTCTAACAAAAAGATTTCTTCTTGACCATACATATACTAGCATAATCGTAAAGGCCTGCCCTAGGAATAAAATGTTTACGAAAAATGCAATAATCTGAGACATAATTAAGGAAATCATTACCAATATAGTTACAGATCAGTTTTAAATGCATCAGGCCTACTTATTTGAAAAATATTCCCTTTATATAAACACGACTAAATTAATTTTGTCATGTGTGAATGAATTTTTTTAAAGTTGTTTATCGCTTAAAACCAATTATTTTACACATATTTACATTTATTTGCACTTTCATAATATTGTTTATTTTTGTCCGAATCAACTTTGATGATTTAGAGTATTAAACTGACTTCTTTGTTACTGCCAACTACACAGTGTGCCACAGAGAGAAGCTGGAATGGAACTTATGTTATTTTTCTAACAGAGCACAAAATTCATAAGTATTTAAGTACATACTCTAGCATGGCTTAAAAAGGATACAATCAGCAATGTTGCACCAAATAAAAACATCATAAAAAAATCTGATGACTTGTTCCTAAAGGACCCTTCTTCCAACATTCGACAGTACCGATACGTAAATATCATTGTAAACAGGAAATTGAAGCCAAATGTGCCAAAAAATAGAAACGTTGTGACTAGCCTCCATATTTGCCCCTTTAAAATTAATATAGGGTTGAAATACAGTTGAAATGGCGATGCCAGTTCTAGTTGCTGGAATAAAAACAGGATTATTAAATAGTTATTAGCAAAGTACACATCTACTGTTTTCATTCTATGCGCGAATAAGGTCAGAATCTCGGTACGGTTCTAGCGAGGTTTGGTTCACAGAAAAATGGGAGGCAAATTGGAAATGACGGAGATCGATTAATAGAACGGTATCAAAGCTACGCCTTCCTAGTAAAAACACATTAAACTGTCCAAAACTTAAAATGTATCCATCTGTATCATTTTAATCAAACTGTGGGCAGTGAAGGCTGTAAGAGGTGCTTATTTTAAATTATTTGTTTGCAAGGCTTAAGATGATATCAAAGATTAGTCAGGTAAAGTAAGTTAGGCTTTTATGATACTTTGTAATACAACTTCTCACTGAAATTGAGTTTGGACACTGAAACAATTCTTCGCGATGTAGTGTTCTCGAAGAATGGATTTAATCGTGAAAACAGTCAACTAGGAAAATGTTAAGATTGATAGGAAAGGATTGGGAAATAATCTAAAAAATAATATTCAGGACACATTATGAGAAAAATAAATCCAAGATTTTGGTTTAGCTGTGGCTCACTGCATCTTTTCAAGACAGCAATACATAAAAGTGATTATAGCTAATACTCAGAATATAGCTGGTTGAATATTTGGAGCCATTACTCCAGAATGTTTCTTTAAAACGAGAATAATTGCATCTTAAACTTGCTGCTCAGAGATATTATACCACTGAACAACTGAACTAGTTACTCAGAAGCTTAATAAAACAGTTGTTCGGGGCAAAAGCAACAAATAAAACTAATACTTCATGTAATCACTTAAAGACTGAAGCAGATAAGCAGCTACTTTTAAACTCCAAATATTCCTATATGAAAGGACACGTAATAAAGGAATTAGAACTTGAACATATACGAATTACTATAGTTAAAACACTTACTACAGCCAAAGTTGTGATAACACAAGCGGTTGTATAGGCCCTTGTAATAGGAGGAGTATTCAAATACTCATTTCTTAGTGTCTGATAAGCCATGTTTTCTCTAAACTATAATTGTACACGTGATTAAGTTTTGGCAATATTTGGATCACAACATTGCAACTCGAATTAGTTCCCCTTTGTGTTGCAGTACAATAATTATCACTTTTTATGTCGTCTTTGGCCACATCAGTTCAAAACAAACTTATTTGAGTTTATTGGCCAATGTCACTATTGTCAGTGTCAATAGTTTGATAATCTGTGATGTCACAAGTGCTACGGAAACCTTTTCTTTCTGGTTCTATACATGACTCGGTCTAGAAGTATCTCTTTCTAACTTATCGCTTACAAGCGAAAGACTGCTAGACTCAGACCCGTGAAACCGCGACGATCACGTTAGATAGTAAGTCACTTATTTTGAGAAGAGAAGAATTTTCTCTTCTCTAACCCCCACTTTGAAGTCGACTGAGACATTTGCATAGATCAGAAAAAAATTCAATTAATTTCTTAAAATTATTCAACATAAATGATTGGTAATCGTCACATTTATAATTGGAACCATACTCGTAGGCAGATTTCAACCAGTGTTTCAAGTAGCATCCTTGTCCGCTCCAGGTATTATTCATTAAATTAGACTTGTTCGGATCAATTCAAGTTCAGTTTGATTTGAGTAAAGGAGAAAAATGCAGCTGATATTAAAATGCCTGAATGGTAGCAGTTCGTCAATGGATGTAGACCACAATACTTTGATATTAAATGTAAAGAAGAAAGTAGAAAAGGACCTGAAAATTCCCGTCTGGCAACAAACACTAATATTTATGGGATCACCACTGCAAGAAGACAAAATAATTGGCGATTACCCCAAAATTAAAGATGGCACAAAGTTGTTTATTATTGTCAAGAAACCTGAAAGTTTCCAAGCAGTCCTAAACAAATTTCTTCGAAAATATTACTCGGAGGAACAGTGCAAAACTATAGTGAAGGAATTTATGAAGAACTTTGAAGCAACTGTAAACAATCTGAGCTTAGATGATTTGGAAAGAATGGCAATTGCAAATTTGAACGAGCAATGAGTAATTTAATCTACATGCATAATATGTATTAACAATATTTCGTATTTATAAATGATTAAGTCATATTAAATGAAAATAGTAACTTTATTTGAGTTTTACAACTATCAACCGATAATACATTTCATTTTTGCACTATTAGAAAGTGCTGGTGCAGTGCTAAATCAAAAACTGTTCTTACTACAAACAAACGATTAATCTGCTAGTCACAAATTCGAACACATTCTGAGAGTATAAACATTTTCTCAGACTATTACATACTCAGTGTTACACCGTATTTGCAACAGTTTTTAAATTCTTTATTTACTAGCAGAGTGAAAGTTACATTACTTTATAAGCTCAATAAATTAGACATCACGTAAATATTAACTATTAGTCAAACTGTGTGATAACAGACAACAAAGGTTATACACTTTAAATATCTTGTGTTTTTATAGATTGTGAATTTATCTTAACATTTTTTCAGTCATGCAAACATCTAGCATGTCGAATTATCTATCAGCCTGGTGTCAATTCAGTCAGAATTGGCATCACCCATGATAGATGATTCGGCATGAAAGCATGGCTTGATAATTACGCAATGTTCTTTTCTTTCCTTATTAAATACAAAATTGTGAAACAGTACATAATAATTTTTACTTACATTCTAATAGCAGACTCTCAATACGTTGTATTACCTTTGCTACGAAGGTATCTAATTTAATCACAAGAACAGATATAGAAAGAGCAAAATATATTCACTTCAATCATTAGTATCCCCCAATTACAAATTATCACCTGTTAATTCCAAAAATTGAGCACAATGTTCTCTCACGCATTCGCCTTTAAAATTGAAGGCAAATTTGTAGTATGAACCATCAGCACAAACAACTGAAAAATAAACAGTAGTTTAATATTTAATAAACAATTTAAGTTCGGTAGAATAGTACAGGAATATAATTTAAATAACTTTCAAACTACACAAGGGAACATAATTTTAAATAGAATTGGTTAATGTAATACTTTATTAACACCCAATTATATCCATTCATTGGCATTCACTAGCTGGATTTAAAACTGATGTTACAATTTAATTTCACTATTATATTTTTGATTGTAGTTAAAAGTTTAAAAAAAGTTATAGAGCGAAAGGAAGAAAAACCGCACTTTTGCTTATCGAAGTACCATCTTTAAGTTCAATTGTCTCATAAGTACTGTTTTAAATTTTGCTAATTTTCATATATCACACAATAGATCAGGTTCATCCGATATATTCAAAAATAATGCCTATCCAAAAATGTCATACTTGTGAAAAAAAACTAATTAGCTTATAGGATAACAATAATACTGACGTAAAAGTGCAAAAAACAATGAAATTATTACCTCCCTAACGAAAGAATTATAAAAGTTGAGCCATTTAAGGCCCTAAATTCTGTCAACAATCATTGAAAAATTACAAAAAACTCTCTTTTTAAGAAGAACGCTTCAAATTCATTATGAATCAACAAGGTGTTTTTCAAAAATCATGTCAATATCAAAGTTGTAAATCTTCTTTTGCGTTTGAAATCGTAGAGTAGTAACTTTAATCAATTATTTTTTGCACACTATAAGCTTTTGCATATTTAACAACAAAATAAATCAAAATATAAGCAATCAAATTTAACACTTACCAATAATAGAATTGTTATCTTGTCCAAAGGCACATATGCAAGGAGGTCCACTTGGAACAGTAAACTTGCAGAAAGACCACGTGGACGAAAAATACTTGGGCAAGAACATGGTATTCGCTAAACTTGACTGTTTATTCAGCTTCAAGTCGGCGAGGGCAAAAATGTGAATCGTGCCATGATCAGAGGACACACAAAGAAGCGTGGATGAACTGTTGAAATTTATACAGTAGATATTTGCCTAGAAAAAAATCAATTTTCGTTTTTACGTTACCGATGATAACTATACACTTTTTTAAAATAATAAGTTAACTATATATTTTCAATAGGGTAAATTGCTGCAGTTATAATGTTGACTGTTCTTACTTGATGTGCACCTCTACGAAGTTCATGAAGTTTTTCACCAGATGCTGAATCAAAAATTCGAATCAAAGTCCCTTTTTCACTAGCAGTAGCCAATCGAGTGCCTTGCAAGTTCAGGGAAATGCAGCTAATGTTGGCTTCATGTGCAGCTATATCCATAGGGGACCTCTCTGTGTTAGCCAGATCTATAAGCTTAAAAACACACAAAATATGAATTGCAAAAAGTAAGACATTTAAAAAAAACCTTATACTTAATATTAATTGATGTTCAATCTAAAATAGGTCCACATGAAAAGGAGGACTGAACTTTTATATCGCGCTTTACGTAAAAATGCAGACTTGTACAATTCTTTGTGCTAAAGTTGACGTAGCATCTACATGAGAAGGTAAATAAATAATAAGCAATTTTTTAACTTTATTGTATTGTTTCCTGCGAAATGTTATATAAATAGGGAAAACGTCTAAAAGTGTGAGTGATGACTTTTACAGCTAAGATAGGATCAAACATTAAAAAATAATTGTTAATAATACAAATTTTGAACTTGAGCTAATGTCTACGAAATGAAGACAAAATATGTTTTCCACGTTTTGCTCAAACTGTGAGGTATTTAAAAAAATGCAGCATTTATATTATTAGAGTTATTAATAGTATGTATTATTTAGGTATCACTAGCTAAAAGTTATTTAATACTTCTTTAGTACCTTAATACCTAGTTTTCAAAGCAACTAACCTGCACATATCCAGTTTTCCTGCCAGGAAACGCCAAGATAGAGTTATTACTATTTGGACATAAAACACAGAGACCTTTAGGATTTGAACTCGTCTCAAATACATGTATTTGCGTGGGAATTTGTGTAAACGTATACACTTTAATAACACCATCTAAAATAACTACAATTCTGTCTCTTCTCAAGCGAACACCAAGTACAGGATCGTTGAATTCAAGATAGATTGGTGTAGCTTTGAGGAGATCATCCCAAATCATGACCTGAAAGTAATCATCTAATTGATTTAAATTTAATATTTGTGACAATACAAAGTACTTTACCCTATTGGGAGGGTACAGGGGCTTGTCGCCGCCGCCCACAAGGGCCAAATAATTACATCTAAAGAGCATTTCTACATGGCTCAACCCTCCATCATCGAAATCTTGACGAACTTTTTCTTTCAAAGGATCACAGTTGTATATCCTAAAGCCTGTGCTTGTTGCACATGCAAAACAGCCTAAAATTTATCAAATTAATTCTGTGCTAATCCCAGATGGATCAAATGTGTTATATGAATATGATGGAACATTGTGTTTACTTTGACTTCGAATCAAGAGAATTCTTTGGAGAACCTACCTTGATCTTGATTGAACCCTACAGACAAGAGACCGTTACCATATTGACTATTTGTTCTAAGGTTCATTTTTGTAAGTCGGATAATTCCTTTAAATATAAACAATTTACATGTTAAAAATATGGCGTTATCAATCTATTTTATTTAACCTCACTATCATAGATAAAGACTGAAATGTGGACTGAGTATGTAGTCACAGAACATACCCCCTGGGGGGATATTTTGTGTATGTAGTCTGTGGTGGACTGAAAGAAGAAATCACAGAAAATCCCCCCTTAGACTTGAAACTGAAATGTTAAATTTTCAATATACGTTTAGCGCCCCTGACGGTGACGCGCGTGAGACGCTGTTGGAATGAGTCATTTATCTAATATTTTATTCCTGATTGCATTCACCAAATTTTATCAGGCCGAAAGCTGCAAGCTTACTAACAGTTATCAACCTAGTAAGTGTATATTTCCGGTCAATAAAGGCGATTATATGATAATATTCTATTAAATATATTGTATATACTTTCCTGAGTGTGTTTCAATTCCAAATCAAATTCATTCCTGGGATTCAGTCATTTATTGTCTCTATTTATCAATCAAAATGCGTTTCGGTGTATTTTTCCACTAGCGTCGGTCTTTATGTGTAGCGTTGTTGCTACTTTAAGCCTTGGCATGCATTTAGAGTATTAATTTTTCTAAAAAATTAATACTCCAAATGAACCCAAGAATGAATTTGATTTGGAATTAAATACATTATCACAAAATCCATTGCAATAATTTTTTGCGATTTTTACTATTCTTTAAAAATTTTTGTTTCTATTAAGTATAACACTCGGACAGATACAACATATCGCCCCATCTAGTGACGCCGCGTCTAGGGAGCATATCAACTTAGCCCAAATTAGTTACCATTCTAAGGGGGGATATTTTATGGAAGAAATAAAGCAGCCCACTCTTTCTTCGCCTTTAAATGTGAGATATAAGAACTAGGAAAGTTTTCCGGGAATCGTTTTAATAAGAATAAAATATCAGATAATTGACTCATATTCTAACCGAGTTTCACGCGCGTCACCGTCAGGGGCGTTAAACGTAAAAAACCAAATTTGTCATTTTAATTTCAATTCTAAGGGGGGACGTTCTGTGAATATCACACGGCAACAGCGCACGTAAAAAGACGTTTGTCAAAAAGCGGGAGTAAACAGTTTGTTGTCAATATGCATTCGTTTTTAAAATCTGGAAAACTTGGAGAAGCCGGTAGCAGTAATTCCCCCACTTCTGGCAGTGCAAAGAAGAGGCTTAAGAAATTACAATGGGTGGAAAAATACAGGCCCAAAACCGTGGAGGATGTTGTAGAACAAAAAGACGTGGTGGCTGTATTAAAAGAATGTATCTCGGGGGCTGATTTGCCCAATATGTTGTTTTATGGCCCTCCTGGAACGGGAAAGACTAGCACTATTTTAGCAGCAGCACATCAGCTGTTTGGAGATTTATACAAAGATAGAATTTTAGAGCTTAACGCCTCAGATGAAAGAGGTAAGTAAATATATAAGGTTTTACGAAAATGGTAAGGTTTACGAGTTGAATATTACCACCCCCCTTTTCTCATATGCATATGAAATCACTTAATTCGTTCCAAACCTTTATAAGTATGTAGAGACAGAGGCAAGATTTTGAAAATCTAAGGGGCTCGAGAATTTTGAAACATCTCATAAATGTTTATAAATATTTAGTCAGTCGTTGAGACTTTTTCGATCGCTTTTTGCGAGCACCGTTTTTCAGCAATAGAGTTTTATCCGAAATTCTTAACCTTTAGAAAGCCAGAAGCAAATGTGATCAGCTTTTTTTTACAAACTTTTTTTTGTGTATTTAGCCTCAAAAATTTTTGTCTTTAAAAAAGACAGAATTTCCTCACGTCTTTTATTACAGATTGATAAATAGTGCTCCTGTTTCGCAATAAGAACGAA